TGATTTAATATGATGGGAAATAGATTATATTCAAATAGATAAAATATGTATTTTGGATATTATAGTTTGTTATGAAATGAGATAAGGGAAATTTTGGTTACCCAAAGTCTGAAAATTATAAATATCAAAGGTTAAATTGGAATATTGATAAGAAATTAAAAACTGAGTAAAAATCAATAACAGGATATGGATTGTTTATGAAGAGTGAATGTAATTCTGATATGTATAAGCTAAAAATTTATTGATAAATGTAATAATGATGTTCTTATTGAGCTGATATAATTAGAAATGTACTAATCTGAATATGAGACAGTAAATGTTAAGGGGAAAAAGAGAAGAAATATCTGAGATTTCCACTAAGATTTTGTTATTGAACTATCGATTAACCCAGTCACTGCGCTGCTTTTTAAATATTCAAATGTAAAATTGGAAAATTAATAAAATATTATAAAAAAACCACAGATGGATTGGAAAAATGGATGGATGGATAGATGAGGAAGGAGGGAGGGAAGTAGAAAAAGAGATCAGAGCTTCTCAACATGCTGGCTAGGGAATTCTGGGAGTTGAAGTCCATCCACTTGCAAGTTGCCAAGGATGAGAAACGGCTGGCTGGCTGGCTGAAAGGATTGTAAAGATGGATGGATGGATGGATGGATTGGAAAGATGGATGGATGGATTGGAAAGGTGGATGGATGGATTGGAAAGGTGGATGGATGGATTGGAAAGATGGATGGATGGATGGATTGGAAAGGTGGATGGATGGATTGGAAAGGTGGATGGATGGATTGGAAAGGTGGATGGATGGATTGGAAAGATGGATGGATTGATGGATTGGAAAGATAGATGGATGGATGGATTGGAAAAATGGATGGATGGATGGATTGGAAAGGTGGATGGATGGATAGATGGATTGGAAAGGTGAATGGCTGGATGGATTGGAAGGATGGATGGATTGGAAGGATGGATGGATGGATTGGAAAAATGGATAAATGGATGGATTGGAAGGATTGGAAAGGTGGATTGATGGATGGATGTATTGGAAAGATGGATGGATTGATGGATTGGAAAGATAGATGGATGGATGGATTGGAAAAATGGATGGATGGATGGATTGGAAAGGTGGATGGATGGATAGATGGATTGGAAAGGTGAATGGCTGGATGGATTGGAAGGATGGATGGATTGGAAGGATGGATGGATGGATTGGAAAAATGGATAAATGGATGGATTGGAAGGATTGGAAAGGTGGATTGATGGATAGATGGATTGGAAAGGTGAATGGATGGATGGATTGGACAGATGGATGGATGGATTGGAAAAATGGATGAATGGATGGATGGATTTGGAAAGATGGAGGATTGGAAAGATGGATGGATGGGTGGATGGATTGGAAAGATGGATGGATGGATGGATTTGAAAGATGGATGGGTGGATGGATTGGAAAGGTGGATGGATGGATTGAGAACCACTGTCCTACAGGTTCTCACTTCTCTTCCCTTCGAGCCTGACGCTTAAGATGGCCTTCCTAGTGGCCGTCACATCAGCTAGGCCAGTGGTTCTCCACCTGTGGGTCGGGACCCCATTTGGGGTCGAACGACCATTTCACGGGGGTCGCCAAACAACGCAGTCCGCCATTTTTCCCCCCCTTTTCCTTAGCTGTGCTCCTCCCTTTTATTCTGTTGGCTTTTGAAAGCCAATAGAATAGACTCTCTTGAATAGAGTTTAATTCTATTGGCTTTCAAAAGCCAATAGGAATGGTCCAGGCTGTCTCTGCCCTGCTGAGCCCGCCAAAAATCCCAGTCTGCCAACGGGGATGCACCAGTTGAGTAGTCCTGGACTTACGACCGGTTGAGTAGTTCTCGACTTACGACCGGTTGGGGGGCGCAGCATTAAAAAGGTTGAGAACCACTGAGCTAGGTGTCTCTCTGAACTGGCAGCCCTGTCTATCAGAGACGACTTATGCATCTTTCACGTCGACAGGGTGCCCCAGCCCTGGTCCCACCCACTCCGCCCCGCCTGCCCTGTCCCCGCTCCGCCCCCGCCCACCCGCAAGGCCACTCCCCGCCTCCACGGCCGGCCGCGGATCGCCCAGGCGACCCAGCAGGACCACGGCGGCCACGCCGTCTGCCCGCACCCCGCAGCATTGATTGCGCGCGACGGGGCACGAGGGCGGAGTCTTGTCCCCGCTGCCCGGCTGCCATATCTTTGGCTGCGCTGCTCCATACGGGCCATGCCCGGGCGCAACTCTCCTCCAGGGGGGGCTGTTGGGGGGGAAGGGGCCACGGGGGGGAGGTAGGGCTGGGGCGACGGCGTACGTGCCCACAGAGAGGGCTCTGAGTGCCGCCTCTGGCACACGTGCCCTAGGTGTGCCACCACTGCCTGTAAGGGATTCCTGCTTGAGCGGGGGGTTGGGCCAGATGACCTCTAGGGTCCCTTCCAGCTCCATTTGTCTATGATTCTGTATAAAGGTCTCCTGCTTGAGCAGTGGATTGGACTAGATGACCTCCAGGATCCCTTCCAACTCCATTTGTCTATGATTCTGGAAGGGTCTCCTGCTTGAGCAGGGGGCTGGATTAGATGACCTCTAAGGTCTCTTCCAACTCCACTTGTCTATGATTCTGTAAGGGTCTCCTGCTTGAGCAGGGGGTTGGACTAGATGACCTCCAGGGTCCCTTCCAACTCCATTTGTCTATGATTCTGGAAGGGTCTCCTGCTTGAGCGTGGGGTTGGACTAGATGACCTCTAAGGTCTCTTCCAGCTCCATTTGTCTATGATTCTGGAAGGGTCTCCTGCTTGGGCGTGGGGTTGGACTAGATGACCTCTAAGGTCTCTTCCAGCTCCATTTGTCTATGATTCTGGAAGGGTCTCCTGCTTGAGCAGGGGGTTGGACTAGGTGACCTCCAGGGTCCCTTCCAACTGTGTTATTCTGTAGGGGTCTCCTGTTTGAGCAGGGGGTTGGAGTGGATGACCTCCAGGGTCCCTTCCAACTCTGTTATTCTGTAGAGGTCTCCTGTTCGAGCAGGGGGTTGGGCCAGATGACCTCCAGGGTCCCTTCCAGCTCTGCGATTCCGTTAAGGGTCTCCTGCTTGACCCCGGGAGCTGGAACATAAATAGAAGAAAAAAAAACCCTAAATAAATAAAACATAAATAGGGCTCATTAGTGCCTGCCTAGTGCCGGCAGCAGCTGCTCAAATATGCAGACTGTCTTACTGAGGGCTAGAAACCTGATTAGGCGTGTGCGTGCCGCAGAGGTGTACATTGGGGAAGATCTAAATAGAGGTGTTCCCAGGTGAGGCCGAGGGCTTGGGGACCGTGGCTGCTTCGTGGCCAATCCGTCCTCACTAATTTCCACCGAGGGAGGGGCAGGGTGTGTGTGTGTGTGTGTGTGTGTGTGTGTGTGTGTGTGCGCCCAAGCCATCTTGCAAAACGCTCGTTTTGTTTGTTCAGTTATTTATTAGATATTTTCTTATCGGTTTTCGCTCCGCCTCGATTACTTTACAAGCAATTCAAAATGGCGGACGTACATAGTATTCCTTCTTCCTCTTATTTTCCTCAGAACGACAATCCTGTGAGGAAGATTGGACTGAGAGAGAGAGAGAGAGAGACAGGAAATGCCCCCCCATCTGGCTTTCGTGCCTGTGGTAGGACTCGAACTCACCGCCGCCTGGTGATTGGGCCCAAGTCGCCCCGCCGACGTTCGTGCTGAAGGCAGGACTAGAACTCAACGTCTCCTGGTGATTGGCCTAAAGTCGGTGGGCCCAAATTGGGACTAGAACTCACCCTCTTCTGGTGATTGGCTCAAAGTCACCCAGTAAGCTCCTATACCTAACATGGGGCTAGAACTCCCAGTCTCCTGGTGATTGGCTCAAAGTCACCCAGTTAGCTCCTATCCCTAACATGGGACTAGAACTCACCGTCTCCCGGTGATTGGCCCAAAGTCACCCAGTTAGCTCCATACCTAACATGGGACTAGAACTCCCAGTCTCCTGGTGATTGGCTCAAAGTCACCCAGTTAGCTCCTATCCCTAACATGGGACTAGAACTCACCATCTCCCGGTGATTGGCCCAAAGTCACCCAGTTAGCTCCTATACCTAACATAGGACTAGAACTCACCGTCTCCTGGTGATTGGCCCAAAGTCACCCAGTTAGCTCCTCTCCCTAACCTGGGACTAGAACTCACCGTCTCCTGGTGATTGGCCCACAGTCACCCAATTAGCTTTCCTGCTTAAGGAGGACTAGAATTCTATATCTCCTGGTAATCGGCCCAAAGTCACCCAATCGGCTTTTGTGACTAAGGTGGGACTAGAACTCCTCGTCTCCCGGTGAATGGCCCACAGTCATCCAGCTGGCTTTCACGGCTAAGGCAGGACTACAGCTCCCTGTCTCCCAGTGATTGGCCCAACGTCAACGTTCCTAAGGTGAGACTTTAACTCACCCTAACCTGGCGATTTGCCCAAAATTACCCAGCTGGCTTTCGTGCCTGAGGTGGAACTAGAACTCCCAGCATGGATCTTCCCCCCCCCCCAGGACATTCCCCCTGCTGGCTGGAGGATTCTGGGAGTGGAAGTCCTCCCCTCTGAAAGCAGGCCGGCTGGGGGATTCTGGGAGTGGAAGCCCTCCCCTCTTAAAGCAGGCCGGCTGGGGGATTCTGGGAGTGGAAGCCCTCCCCTCTTAAAGCAGGCCGGCTGGGGGATTCTGGGAGTGGAAGCCCTCCCCTCTTAAAGCAGGCCGGCTGGGGGATTCTGGGAGTTGCTCCCCTCTTAAAACCATCACGATTGCCAAACTCTGCTTCATGGAGACTTTGGCCCCCCACCTCCTGCACCCCCGATCTGGTCACTTGGAAAGGGTCTGGGGGGGGCACCCGTTGGAGACCCAGGCCAACACCCCTCTCTTGTGCAATGCCTACACAGCAGCAGCAGGGGAGCGGGTGAGAAGTAGGGACGGGACACAACCGTTTCCCCCCTTTCCCCTAATTGTTAAACCCCCCCCCCCTTTGCAGAGAAGCCATGCAAAAGTAGCAGGACGGTGGCTTAGCCCACCCACCTTCGCTGGACGGCAAGGAGGAGAGAGTCAATGCTTTCCCACGCTTGGGAAAGTCGGTTTTGGTCGACCGTCGTCCCAAGTCGCTTTCCCGGACCGTCTCCCCCGCCCCACCCCCCGGCAATGTCTCACAGATTGTGTTGCTCGCAGCCCCCACGAGACCCCGGCGAGGGGGGCAACCCCGGATTCCCCACGGCCACCAGGGGGGTGCAAGGGGGGATGGGCCGCCCCCCGAAAAGCAGGTCGGCCACCCACCGGCTCCTCCGGAAGGGGGCGGGCGGCGGTCTCCGCCGTGGGGCGCCAAGATCGGGCAAGATGGCAAGCTGCGCCTCGGCGAAGCGCAGCGGCCGGCTGCGCGCCGCTTCCAGCACGGCCGCTCGGTCGGCGGAGCGGGAGACGCGGAAGAGCAGCGGGCGCGGCTTGCCGGACGAGTCCCAGCTTCGGATCCGGCGGGCGCTCTCGATCTCCAAGACCGGCGCTCCCGGGCGCCAGCCCAGCAACTCCGGCAGGGCGCGTCGGAGGAAAGCGGCCGGGTCGCCCCCTTCGGCCCCCTCCGGCAAGCCCAGAAGGCGTAGGTTGGCACGGCGGGAGCGGCTTTCCAAGGCGCGGCAACGGTTCTCCAGGCGCCGGGCGTACTTGTCCAGGCGGTGGTTCTCCAGGTGCAGCGCGGCCAGCTCCAGCGCCCAGCAGCGAGCGTCCTGCTCCAGCTGCAAGACGTGGCTCTGCAGGCCGGAGAGGTCCCGGCAAAGGCTGCTCACGTCGGCGGCCAGGCGGCCCAGCTGTTTGGAGACGAGGGGCTGCACGGCTCCCGACTCGGCTCCGTGGGAGCAGCTGCAGAGTCCCGGAGCCGCGGAGCGGCTGTTCTTCGCCTCTGGTCCTGCATCCAAGGCCGGAAGTCTTCCTTTGTCCCTGGCTGGGAAAGACGGGAAGATCAGCGTGAGACCCTGATCGTCATTCTGGAGAGAATTATCAATCAATCAATCAACCAATGAGAACAGAGTTGGAAGGGACCTTGGAGGTCATCTAGTCCGACCTCCTGCTCCAGCAGGAACCCCTTACAGAATCGTAGACAGATGGAGTTGGAAGGGACCTTAGACGTCATCTAGTCTGAGCCCCTGCTCCAACAGGAGACCCTTACAGAATCGTAGACTAATGGAGTTGGAAGGGACCCTGGAGGTCATCTAGTCCAATCCCCTGCTCAAGCAGGAGACCCTTACAGAATCGTACACTAATGGAGTTGGAAGGGACCCTGGAGGTCATCTAATCTGACCCCCTGCTCCAGCAGGAATCCCTGAGAGAATCATAGACTAATGGAGTTGGAAGGGACTTTAGGGGTCATCCAGTCCAACCCCCTGCTTGAACAGGAAAACCTTACAGAATCATAGACAAATGGAGTTGGAAGGGACCTTAGAGGTCTTCTAATCCAACCCCCCTTGCTCGAGCAGGAGACCCTATACCATTTCAGACGTGTGGCTGTCCAGTTTCTTCTTAAAAACCTCCAGGGATGAAGCATCCACGACTTCCAGTGGCCAGTTGTTCCACTGGTTAATTGTCCTCCCTGTTGGGAGCTTTCTCCTTAATTCCAGGTTGCTTCTCTCTTTGGTCAGTTTCCATCCGTCGTTTCTCGTCCTACCTGCAGGAGCTTTGGAGGATATGTGGACACCCCCCCCTCTTCTTTGGGGTGCTCCCCCAAATACTGGAAGGCTGCTATTGTGTCCCCCCCCCCTAGTTTGTCTTTTCACTAGTCTGGCCCAACCCAATTCTTGCAACCGTTCTTCTTTGTATGTTTTAGATCTCTGGGCTTTTAATCATCGTAGTTGCTCTTCTATTCCATTCTATTCTATATTCTATTCTATTCCATCCCATTCCATTTTATTCCATTCCATCCCATTCTATTCCATCCCATTCCATTCCATTCTATATTCTATTCTACTCCATCCCATTCCATTCTATATTCTATATTCTATTCCATCCCATTCCATTCCATTCTATATTCTATTCCATTCCATTCTATATTCTATTCTACTCCATCCCATTCCATCCCATCCCATCCCATTCTATGTTCTATATTCTATTCCATTCCATTCCATTCTATATTCTATTCCATTCCATCCCATTCCATCCGATTCTATTCCATTCCATTCTATTCCATCCCATTCCATTCTATTCTATATTCTATTCTATATTCTATTCTATTCCATTCTATTCCATCCCATCCCATTCCATTTTATTCCATTCCATATTCTATTCTACTCCATCCCATTCCATTCCATTCTATATTCTATTCCATCCCATTCCATTCTATTCTATATTCTATTCTATTCCATCCCATCCCATCCCATTCCATTCTATTCTATTCCATTCTATTCCATTCCATCCGGTTCTGTTCTGTTCCATTCCATTCTATTCTATCCCCCCCCAAAGGTCAAGATCTGATGGTGCCACTTTTCCCGGGCAGGTGGCGGGGGGCTCAGCCTTGCCAAGGACTCCAACACCAACTCCCATCCGTGCTTCCCAGCTCTCCTTACGTTTGTCCGCTCCTCACCCGTTGCAGAAGCTCTTCGGGCTCCCATCCGAAACGAGGCCGGGGGGTTCCACCTGGGAGGGTCACTCTGCATATGTGCAGAGGACCAGCTGTTCCGTGGGCAGGAATGGCCGTTCTGCTGGGGCCCCGATGTCCCCTCGTCACAAGTGGGGGCACTGGAAGAGACAGCACCTATAGAGAGGACAAGGGCCCCAGGCTGGTTAGTTCGACGGAGTTGTGTTCCTCTAGGCCAGAGGTAGGCCATCTTGGCTCTTTTATGACTGGTGGACTTCAACTCCCAGAATTCCTGAGCCAGCCCCGCTGAGGGGACGGGGAGAGGTTTCCAAGCTGAGCCAGGCTGGCTCCGGAATTCTGGGAATTGAAGTCCACGGGTCATAAAGTGGCCTAGGCCTAGACCAGAGGTAGGCCACCTTGGCTCTTTTATGACTGGTGGACTTCAGATCCCAGAATTCCTCAGCCAGCCACGCTGAGGGGAAAGGGAGAGGCTTCCAAGCTGAGCCACGCTGGCTCAGGAATTCTGGGAGTTGAAGTCCACGAGTCATGAGGGGGCCTAGGCCAGAGGTAGGCCACCTTGGCTCTTTGATGACGCGTGGACTTCAACTCCCAGAATTCCTGAGCCAGCCCCGCTGAGGGGACGGGGAGAGGTTTCCAAGCTGAGCCAGGCTGGCTCAGGAATTCTGGGAGTTGAAGTCCACGAGTCATGAGGGGGTTAGGCCAGAGGTAGGCCACCAGAGAGAGAGAGGAGGGAGGGAAAAGATGTTCTCTTTTTATGGACTCCGTCGACTTCAACTCCCGATCCTGAGCCACCACCTGAGGGGAAGGGAGTGGTTTTCCAAGCTGAGCCAGGCTGGCTCAGGAATTCTGGGAGTTGAAGTCCCCGAGTGATAAAGCAGCCTAGGCCAGAGGTAGGCCACCTTGGCTCTTTTATGACTGGTGGACTTCAAATCCCAGAATTCCTGAGCCAGCCACGCTGAGGGGACGGGGAGAGGTTTCCAAGCTGAGCCAGGCTGGCTCAGGAATTCTGGGAGTTGAAGTCTCCGAGTGATAAAGCAGCCTAAGCCTAGGCCAGAGGTAGGCCACCTTGGCTCTTTTATGACATGTGGACTTCAACTCCCAGAATTCCTGAGCCAGCCACGCTGAGGGGAAAGGGAGGGGTTTCCAAGCTGAGCCAGGCTGGCTCAGGAATTCTGGGAGTTGAAGTCCACACGTCATAAAAGAGCCAGGGTTGCCTATCCCTGCTCTAGGTTGATCAAATGCAATGGTTCAGCTCTGGGTGCCCGAATTTCCGAGCGTTTCTCAAGCTTGGCTGCTTAAAGAGGGGTGGACTTCGACTCCCAGAATCCCCCAGTCAGCATGTTTTAAAAGGGGAGGACTTCAACTCCCAGAATCCCCTAGCCAGGATGCTTTAAGAGAGGTGGACTTCGACTCCCAGAATCCTCCAGACAGGATGCTTTAAGAGGGGTGAACTTCAACTCCCAGAATCCCCCAGTCAGCATGCTTTAAGAGGGGCGAACTTCAACTCCCAGAATCCCCCAGTCAGCATGCTTTAAGAGGGGTGAACTTCGACTCCCAGAATCCCCCAGCCAGGATGTTTAAGGGGGTGAACTTCAACTCCCAGAATCCCCTAGCCAGGATGCTTTAAGTGGGAATGACTTCAACTCCCAGAATCCCCCAGCCGGCCTGCTTTAAGAGGGACGGGCTTCGACTCCCAGAATCCCCCAGCCAGCATGCTTGAGGAAAGGTGGACTTCGACTCCCAGAATCCCCCTGTCCTCTGTCTTCTGTCCCGTTGGAGATGCAGCCTCCCATACTCGCCTTGCCAGGATTTCTTTTTGCAATGGGCTGCTTGCTCTTCCTCCTCCTCCTCCTGGTTGTGCTGCGGTTGTCGGGGCCTCTTCCTGGCCAAGGAGGGGCAGGGCCTGGGGGTGCTTGGGTAGGCAAGCTCCTCCAGGCAGCTGAGCAGGCCCTGGAGAGGCCTGCTGCCGGTCAGCCCTTCGGAGCAAAGGGAGAAAGACGTCACCCGGCCGTTGGCGGAGGCCGATCGCAATTCACCCTTCCCCTCCCCTGCAATCTTCCCCCAATATGGCGGCAGCACACCGGGGCCTCCCCTCCGAAGGGGAGCAGGATTTGAACTCGGGGCCACGGCAGGATAAGAGCCGGGAGGAGATCCTCCCCATCCTCTTGACAGAAGCTCAGAGTAGAACTGGGGAGGGGGGGAAGTGTCCTTGGATGGTTTCCTCGCAGACGTTTCGTGACCCAACTAGGGAATAGCATCAGTGTTCGAAGGCTGAGAGGTGGCTGTGGGGAGGAGGAGGAGGAGGAAGGACTGTGGGGTCCTGGGTGCTCTCTGAGCTGGGTGGTTTTCTTGCAGACGTTTCAGGACCCAACTAGGGAACGTTATCAGGGCTAGAAGGGAGGAAGGAAGGAAGGAAGGAAGGAAGGAAGGAAGGAAGGAAGGAAGGAAGGAAGGAAGGAAGGAAGGAAGGAAGAGGCGGAGGAGGAGGAGGAAGGACTGTGGGGTCCTTGGGGGACCTCTGAGCTGGGTGGTTTCCTCGGAGACGTTTCATGACCCAACTAGGGAACGTCATCAGTGCTGGAAGGAAGGAAGGAAGGAAGGAGGAGGAAAAGAAGAAGAAAAAGACTATGAGGTCCTTGATGCTGTCTGAGCTGGGTGGTTTCCTTGCAGACGTTTCAACTAGGGAACGTCATCAGTGCTGGAAGGAAGGAAGGAAGGAAGGAGGAGGAGGAGAAAAAGACTATGATGCTGTCTGAGCTTGGTGGTTTCCTTGCAGACGTTTCAAGACCCAACTAGCAAACATCAACAGTGCTAGAAGGGAGGAAGAGGAGAAGGAAGGAAGGAAGGAAGGAAGGAAGGAAGGAAGGAAGGAAGGTAGGTAGGTGGGGTCCTTGGTGCTCTCTGACCTGGGTGGTTTCCTTGCAGACGTTTCATGACCCAACTAGGGAGCTTCATCAGGGCTAGAAGGGAGGGGGGTTTGTGGAGAAGAGGAGGAGGGGGAGGGAGGGGGAGGAAGAGGACTTTAAGCTCCTACGTACTCTCCGACATTCTTGCAGACGTCTCACGACCCACCCAGGTAACGTCAAGACTGCTGGAAGAGAGGCAGTTTCCAGGGAGGAGGAAGAGGAAGGGGCGGGTTTTAGAGGGAAGAGGAGGACTGTGGGCTCTCTGAACTCGTTGGCTTTCTGGCAGCCATTTCACAACCCAACTTTCATCCTATCTCAGCTGAGGCTCCCACCTTGGTCACCAGGCAGTGGCTGGACCTGCTCTTCCCCCGGACTCCAGTCCGTGTCTCCTTGAGACGTCCCATCCCGGGAACCGGGGCCCATGGGGCTGGAACACCTCGGGGTCCGGGCTGACGTTGTGTCCCTTGGGTCCTTCTTCAGCTCGTGGGTGAAGATCTTGTTGACGAGAGCTGCACCAAGCAGAAGGACGGACAGTGAAGAACGCGGGGCGGGCGGCTACTACGGTTGGACACCCCAAGTCTCAGAGATGCTTCCTTACTCCAGAGATCCTCAGAGGTCACAACCACCGAGGCCATTGGAGGAGGAGACGAGATCTAGGAAGATTCTCCCACCTACTCCTCGGATGGGTGGACAATTCTGAATCATCACGATCGGCTCGGTTTGGTGACCACCCAGTTTTATCGGCCTGTGAGAGTCCTGGATTGTGAGACGTTCAACTAAGTTCTCCTCAAGAGAAGTTCTCCTCACTCTACTTTTGCGTGGAAGCCGCCAGGTTGTTATCTGGGGGGCTCCAAGGAAGGAACGAGGCGTCACCATCAGCCAACCACAATCTTCCAGGCCCCGATAATTGCTCTCCGTTCGCTGGACATTTTCAACAAAAGATTGTGGACAACCAAACATTTGGGGTGGGAGAAGGACTTCTGCCTCGGACAAGGAGTTGGACTATAGAACAGGGGTCCCCAACCTGTGGGCTGCAGCCCGCTACTGGTCCGTGGCCTATTTGTGACCTGGCCGTGTGAGCAGTGGGCTAGTGTGCACGTGTGTGCGCGTGCATAGCCCCACTTCTGCAAGTGTTGTGGACGATTGCAGCCCAACTCGCACAACGGTCACGGGCGCCCCAGACCTTCACTCACATAAGGGTAGCAGGCACTTGTAGCCTCACTTGCACAGGGCGTGCAAAAGCTCGGGGCCTCACTCGCGTGAGCATCGCGGACACTTGTGGCCCCACTCGTGCAACAGCTGCTCCTGCGCGCGCATTTACATACGCCCGCCCTGCCCACAAAACCATCCCTTTTGCCCAGGGGTGGGATTCAAATACCTGAACCTCTGGTTCTCTGCGTGGATGCAGGCCTAGAACGGACTTCCGGAAGTGACATCCACGCACTTCCGGCGGGCCGTTCTAGGTCTGGGAGACCTCCTCCAGGCCTCCGAGGCCTAGAATGGATTTCCGGAAGTGACATCCACACACTTCCAGTGGGGCGTTTCTAGGTCCGGGAGACCTCCTCCAGGCCTCCGAGGCCTAGAACGGATTTCCGGAAGTGACATCCACGCACTTCCAGTGGGCCGTTTCTAGGTCCGGGAGACCTCCTCCAGGCCTCCGAGGCCTAGAACGGATTTCCGGAAGTGACATCCACGCACTTCCAGTGGGCCGTTTCTAGGTCCGGGAGACCTCCTCCAGGCCTCCGAAGTCTAGAACGGACTTCCAGAAGCAGCATGGGTTCAGCCGGTTCTCCAAACGCAACAAAATTTAGCTACGGCTTCTACCAAACTGGTGGGAACTGGTTGAATCCCACCACTGCCTTTGTCCCCTTCCACCTGGGCCACCAACCCAGAAAGGTCCCTTCTTGCCCTAGAATTCTATCATCTACACCAGGGGTGTCAAACTGCCAGCCCGTGGGCTGGACACATCATCCGGAAGCCGCGCCCACCCCTTTGCTGGCAATGGCAAAACCATCCCGATACAGTGCGCTACGTCACGTGACGTCGCGAGTTTGACATGTCTGATCTCCACTTTGGCTGCTGTGCAGAAGGCTTCCTTCCTGCTCTCTCCCTTAGGGTCCTAGAGGTTCTCCAAAGAATTCTCCCCCTCCCAGCCAACCTTGATCCTCACCCAAGATCCTGGTTTAAGTCCCCAAAGAGGTCAACTCAGCATCATAAAAGCCACCTCCCTGTTACATACGTGCGGAAGGTGGTACATCTTCTCTTGCTTCGGAGGCTCTGGACGTCACAGCTCGCTGAGTTCCGGAGCGTTGTAGCGGGGTGATGGAGGGAAACATCTGCTTGACCCCCGTATCCTTTGCGTCATTCTCCGGGTTGCCAAGGAGAGAGGCAGAAGGTGCTTCGTCAACGCTGTCCGCAACGTCGGCCTCTTGTGCGGAGGCCAACTTCTCTTCCTCTTCTGCAGGAAATTGGGTGGACAGATGTTCCCTCTTGGGCTCCATCGTCACTTTTGGTCCCACGAGGACATCCCTCTCAGATCCTGGGAATGTGTCCAGAAAGTGGGGGGAAAAACCATGTAACAGGACATGTCCAAGATGGAAGGTCTCGTATTTCATATCCTGCTCTGGACTTGATGCGCGAGACTCATCTGGACCAGCGGTCCCCCACACAGAATTGGACATTTAGGCACGGACCCTTGGTTGTGCGTCCTTCACCCTCAGCTCATTTATGGCCGGCTTTCCTCCTCCACTGGCCCTCCACTGGCCTTTCTCCATGGCCAATGGCCCCCTGGTCCTCCACCCCTCGCCCTTGCAGATCTGTCACCAGGGCCGGAGGGAGGGTGGTGGTGGGAGTAGCAGCCACCAGGGCCACTGGGGGGGAGGTCCTGTACAGCCCAATAGCCTGAGTGAAATGACAACTGGATGGACGGGTCAGGCCAAAGGGCCATGGAAAATGGCCGGGGGAGGGTCAGCGGCGGAGGAAAGCTAAGGCAGGTGACTGAGGGTGAAGGAGGTGCAGCCAAGGGTCCATCTCCTAAACCCTCCCAAACTGTCCCCAATGCCACGATTTCAGCCCACTAGCGAGCTGCAGCCAGTTCGGAACCGGTCCACACCAGTGGCACGCAAGCGCGCACGGAGTTCCACTTGTGCGAGCGGCGGGCCAGCATGGACACACGCAAAGCAACATTTGTGCAAGCCGTATGTGCCTGTCGCTTGTGCAAAGGGAGCGGCGCGCACGCGCGCGTTCACTCGCCGCTGGTACGGAACCATCCCTTTTCCACTGCCACCGCGGGTCCGCAAAACCCGGAAGGTTTGGGACCGCTAATTTGGACGGCTTCTACTCCCACTCCTCAAAACATCCAAGGCCTCTCCAAGCCCAGCCCTAGGCCCACCTGGTGGCTGATGCCGACCCAGGCCACTGTCCCACCAGGCTGAATTTCCTGGGCTCTGTTGGTCCCTTTCGGTTTCACTGCAGCTGGAGGAGGAGGAGGAAGAGGAAGAGGAGAAGGCGTTCGGCGTGTTGAGATAACTTGGCCGTCGTATGGGGATTTCCTTCAGGCAGTTCATCAGCCGGTGGAGGGGAGAGCTGTCGGCAGCCGTGTCTGAAGCAGAGGCGCATTGTTGAGGAAGGGTCCCTGCAGGGAAAGAGAGGCGGACCGACGTCGGTTCTGGAAAGGAGGATAAAGCTGGGTTGCTTGATTGTGTATTGAACTGGACCAAGCTATGTCCCCCCCCCCAAATGTTGGTCCATCTGGCACAGCCCAATCATGTCATAAAGAATTCTAATATCTGTGTGTGTGTGTGTGTGTGTGTGTCTGTTTGTGTGTCTCTGTCTCTCTGTCTCTCTCTTTCTGTGTCTCTCTCTTTCTCTCTCTCTCTCACTGTCTCTCTCTATTTGTCTCTGTGTGTGTGTCTCTCTCTGTCTCTCTCTCTCTTTCTGTCTCTCTGTGTGTGTGTCTCTGTCTCTCTCTCTGTGTGTGTGTCTTTCTCACACTGTCTCTGTGTGTGTGTGTGTGTCTCCCTCTGTCTCTGTCTCTCTCTGTCTCGTTCTGTGTGTGTGTGTGTGTGTGTGTCTCTGTGTCTCTCTCTCTCTGTGTCTCTCTTTCTTTCTCACTGTCTCTCTTTCTCTGTGTGTGTGTGTCTCTTTCTGTCTCTGTCTCTCTCTGTGTGTGTGTCTCTGTCTCTGTATGTGTGTGTATGTGTGTGTCTTTCTCTCTGTCTCTGTGTGTGTCTCCCTCTGTCTCTGTCTCTCTGTCTCTGTGTGTGTGTGTGTCTGTCTCTCTGTGTGTGTGTCTCTCTCTCTTTGTGTGTGTTTGTGTCTCTTTCTCTCTCTCTCTTTGTGTGTGTGTGTGTCTCTCTCTCTCTCTCTTTGTGTGTGTGTGTGTCTCTTTCTCTCTCTCTCTCTCTCTCTCACTGTCCATCCATCCATCCATCCATCGTATCTATCACCCCTCCATCCATGACATCTATCCGTCATATCTAATCTATCTATCTCCATCTATTCGGAGCAGGATTGCTTGTGTGGTTAGGATGCAGGGTTGGAAGTTAGCAGCACGTGTTGGAGACCCAAGTGCTGCCTTGGGGCAGGGTGGAGCTCCCGTCCTTCCCTCCAGCTCCTGCCAGGGACAAGGAAGGAGCCCTCAACTGGGCATCTCCTGGGCATCATCTCTATCGCCCATCCACCCATCGTATATATATTCATCAATCCATTCGTCCGTCATGTCTATCTATCATCCATCAATCCGCCCGTCCATGTTCTATCTATCTATCTATCTATCTATCTATCTATCTATCTATCTATCTATCTATATCATCTCTATATCATCGATGTTCTATCTATCCATCTATCCATATCTATATCATCTATCTATCTATCATCTATCATCTCTATATCATTGATGTTCTATCATCTATCTAATCTATCCATCCATGTATCTATCTATCTATTTATCTGTCTGTCTGTCTCTCTATCAATCATCTATCTATCTATCCATCATCTATCATCTCTATATCATCGATGTTCTATCATCTATCTATCTATCTATCTATCCATCCATCCATCCATCCATCCATCTCTATATCATTGATGTTCTATCTATCCATCTATCCATATCTATCTCTATCATCTATCTATCTATCATCTATTTATCCATCATCTATCATCTCCATATCATCAATATTCTATCATCTATCTATCTATCTATCTCTATCTACCTACCTACCCACCCACCCACCCATCTATTATCATCTATGCCCATCCATAAATCCATCCATTGTATCTATCATCTATCCATTCATCCCTCCAGCCATCCACTGTATCCGTCCATTATGTCTATCTCCCATCAATTCATCCATCTGCTATCAATTAGGAGCACGATGGCTCGTGTGGTTAGCAAGACCCGTGTTCGAGACTTGAGTGCTGCCTTGGGGTGGGGTTGAGCTCCTGTCCATGGCTCCAGCTAGTGCCAGGGGCATGAAAGGAGGCCCTCTCCCAGGCAATAGTGAGGTCACTGGCTAATCCTTTCAACCCAGAAGTGCCTCAGTGCTCCTGACATGAGTGGGATGCAATCTCCGTCCATCCATCCATCCATCCATCATATTCATCATCCATCCACTTATACAGGTCCATCCATCCATCCATCATATTCATCATCCATCCACTTATACAGGTCCATCCATCCATCCATCATATTCATCATCCATCCACTTATATAGGTCCATCCGTCCGTCCATCCATCATATTCATCATCCATCCACTTATATAGGTCCATCTGTCCATCCATCCATCATATTCATCATCCATCCACTTATATAGGTCCATCCGTCTGTCCATCTGTCCATCCACCCACCCATCCATCCATCCATCCATCATATTCATCATCCATCCACTTATATAGGTCCATCTGTCCATCCATCCATCATATTCATCATCCATCCACTTATATAGGTCCATCCGTCTGTCCATCTGTCCATCCATCCACCCACCCATCCATCCATCCATCATATTCATCATCCATCCACTTATATAGGTCCATCTGTCTGTCCATCTGTCCATCCACCCACCCACCCATCCATCCATCCATCATATTCATCATCCATCCACTTATATAGGTCCATCCGTCTGTCCATCTGTCCATCCATCCACCCACCCATCCATCCATCCATCATATTCATCATCCATCCACTTATATAGGTCCATCTGTCTGTCCATCCACCCACCCACCCATCCATCCATCATATTCATCATCCATCCACTTATATAGGTCCCTCCGTCCGTCCATCCACCCACCCATCCATCCATCCATCCATCCATCATATTCATCATCCATCCACTTATATAGGTCCATCTGTCCATCCATCCCTCCATCCATCATATTCATCATCCATCCACTTATATAGGTCCGTCCATCAATCCACCCACCCACCCATCCATCCATCCATCCATCCATCCATCATATTCATCATCCATCCACTTATATAGGTCCATCCGTCCGTCCATCCATTGTATTTGTCTACCATCCGTCCCTCCATCCATTCGTTGTATTTATCATCTCTCCATCTCCATCCACACGTCAAATGTATCTATCACCCATCCATTGTATCTGCAGGGAATTCTGGGAGATGAAGTCCACACGTCTGGTAGGAGACGGACCACAAAGGGCTGACAGGACGTGGCTGGAGGGCAGCCCCAGAGGAACCCCATCTTCCTGCCCACCCTATCCGGCCTCCGTTCTCTTGAGAAACCCCGGAGAAACCCCGGAGGACTAGAACCTTGGAGGTGACCCTGAGGCCAAGTCCTCCAGCACCTCCAGAACAGGATCTTACCTGCAGGCCCTGGCCTTGGCGAGTGAGCCTCCTCCGTTCCCGCCCGCTTCTGAGCGCCGACACCGCGCCTGGCAGGGCTGGCGTTGAGGAAGTCTCTGCTCGGGGCGATCTCGTTCAGGCAATTCTCCAGGCCTTGAAGGGGTGGGACCCTGGGGGGGCTCCCTCCTGTTTGCAAAAGGTGAGTTGCTGCTACTGTTGGAATCCCACTGTTCACACACAGGCACGCACGCGCACGCACACACACCACACACAGGGTCCCTTTTGCAGGGCATCCTCAACTTACGACGGGTCACTTGGGAACTGTTCCAAGTTGACAGACTTCCCCCCCCCAAAAGGGTCCATTAGATGTTAGGCAGGTAAGTAGGTAGGTAGACAGGATGGATAGACAGATATAGATGGATGGATGGATAGGTAGGTAGGTAGACAGACAGACAGACAGATAGATAGACAGACAGAAGGGATGGATGGATAGACAGATATAGATGGATGGATGGATAGATAGACAAAAGAGATGGATGGATGGATAGGCAGATAGATAGATAGATAGATAGATAGATAGATAGATAGATAGATAGATAGATAGATAGATAGATAGATAGATATAGATAAACTGGATGGATGGACAGATATAGATGGATGGATGGATGGATGGATAGATAGATAGATAGATAGATAGATAGATAGATAGATAGATAGATAGATAGATAGATAGTCAGACAGACAGATAGATAGGACAGAGAGAAGGGATGGATGGATAGACAAATATAGATGGATAGATAGATAGGCAGATAGATAGACAAGACAGATAGATAGATAGATATAGATAAACTGGATGGATGGACAGATAAAGATGAATGTATGGATAGATAGATAGACAGACAGACAGAATGGATGGATGGACAGACAGATATAGATGGATGTATGGGTAAGAGAGAGAGAGAGAGAGATGATGGATGGATGGACGGACAATGGAAGAATGGGTGGGTGGATGGACGGACGGATGGACAGACAGACGATGGATGGATAGGTGGACGGACAGATAGGATGTAGCTGAGCTACATCTCTGGCCGCCTAGCCTTCCCCCTTTCCCCACCCTCCATGCCTCCCCCTGGGGAGGAAGTGGGGGCCACCAAGCTACCTCTCACCTTCCTCCTTCCTGGCCCACGTCGCTGGCTCGGGTGTCCACTGCCGGCGTCTGTCTGGCGAGCTGTGGATGGAGGAAGTGACGGACGGGGACCATCGCTGGCTCTGGATGTCCTTCAAGCACTTCTCTAGGCCTTGCAAGGGGGTGCTGCTTTGACTGAACCCTACAGAGCAGGGGGTCCTTATGTCAGCATGGCAACTCAGACGCACACACATCCCACCAGATCTGAGCCCCCAACCCTCTCACCTTCCTCTCTCCTGGCCGACGTCCGTCTGTGGAGACCGTCTGGGGAGCTGCTGGTGGCCGGCGAACAGGCCCGGCTGCGGGAACCCCACGGGGTCTCCTTGAACCCTTTCCCGAGGCCGGGCAAAGGACTCTGGGCTTGGCCAAGCTCTGCAGAAGACAAGTAGGTGACAGCTGGACCACAATCGGCGTGGCCACGATCAGCTGTGAAAGCCCACCGTCAAGGTTGACCTGGAAGACGTTGGAGTTGGACAGAAAGACAGACAGACAGACAGAAAGACATAAACAGACGGATGGATGGGCAAAGAGAGAGAGAGGGAGGGAGGATGGACAGATAGACAGATCAGATAGACATAGATGGACGGACGGATGGATGGATGGATGAATGGACAGAAAGACAGACAGATAGACATAAGCAAACGGATGGATGGACAAAGATGATATAGATGGATGGATGGATGGATGGATGGACGGACAATGGAAGGACGAACAGACATGGTGGGTGGGTGGAGAAAGGGATAGGTGGGTGGGTGGGTGGGTGGAGAAAGGGATAGGTGGGTGGGTGGGTGGACGGATGGGCAGATAGACAAATAGACAGATAGACATAGACAGATGGACAGATAGATAGATGGATGAATGGACGGACAGAAAGATAGATAGACATAAGCAAATGGATGGATGGACAAAGATGATACAGATAGATAGATAGATAGATAGATAGATAGATAGATAGATAGATAGATAGATAGTGGATGGATGGACAATGGAAGGATGGACAGATGGACAGATGATGGATGGCTGGACGGACAGACAGACACGGATGGATGGATGGGTGGACAAAGGGATGGATGGGTGGGTGGATGGATGTACAGATAGATGGATGGATAGATGGACGGACAGAAAGATAGACAGACAGATAAGTGGACAGACAGCCAAGCTCTGCAGAAGACAAGTAGGTGACAGCTGGACCACAATCGGCGTGGCCACGATCAGCTGTGAAAGCCCACCGTCAAGGTTGACCTGGAAGATGTTGGACAGAAAGAGAGACAGACATAAACAGACGGATGGATGGACAAAGAGGGAGGGAGCGAGGATGGACAGATAGACAGATCAGATAGACATGGATGGATGGATGGATGAACGGACAGAAAGATAGACAGATAGACATAAGCAAACGGATGGATGGACAAAGATGATACAGATAGATAAATAGAAAGATAGATAGATGGATGGATGGACAATGGAAGGATGGACAGACAGATGATGGATGGACGGACAGACACAGGGATGGGTGGACAAAGGGGTGGGTGGGTGGGTGGGTGGACGGATGGGCAGATAGATAAATAGACAGATAGACATAGACAGATGGACAGATAGATGGATGGATGAATGGACGGACAGAAACATAGACAAACAGACAGACAGCCAAGCTCTGCAGAAGACAAGTCGGTGACAGCTTGACCGCCATCAGCGTAGCCGCGATCACTGTGAAAGCCCACCGTCAAGGTTGACTTGGAAGACGTTGGAGTTGGCCATCGACTCCCCTCCCCGCCTTCAGATCACAAGATCACCGATCGCCTACTCAAGATCGCCTGCTTAAGATCACAACGGGGATCCGTGGCAGATGCCAGGAGCCATTCTGCCAAGAGGCGGACCCCGAGAGGTCCCGTCTCCCGAAGGATCGGGGTCTACCTCGCTAGGCCCAGGAGGCATCTCACCGTCTTCCTTCCTTCTCCATCGGCCCGGTTCGGGAGTCCACCGGGGAAGGCTGTCCGGGGAGCTGCTGACCAATGAAATGATGGCGGGGGACGAGGGCTGGATGTGGGCGCTTGGAGGAGGACGTTCCTTCGTGGTTCCTGGAGGAACAGAGGAGGAACATCAAAAGAGGACCCGCTGGGGAGAGCTGGATTGGAGTCTACCCTCGAAGAAGGAACTTTCTGGGCCATAATCAACCCAGCCTACCTCACAGGGTTGGTCTTGCAGGGGATGAACCCAAGGGGACAATTGCTCCTGGAGCAAAGCTAGGGTAGATACCCAGCAGACCAACTAAACAGACTAGACTTTTCTTCAAAACAAGGTTTTCCTTCCAAGGTGTGAAACAACCCCGATGCCGTTTTCTCGCAGGCCCGAGGATTTAATTGTGGGATATGTGTGCTGGCTGAGGGACTTTGGACCAATCACCAGGAGACTGGGAGTTCTAGTCCCGCCTTAAGCATGAAAGCCAACTGGGTGATTCTGGGCCAATCACCGGGAGACTGTGAGTTCTAGTCCTGCCTTAGACATGAAAGCCAGCTGGGTGACTCTGGGCCAATCACTGGGAGACTGGGAGTTCTAGTCCCGCCTTAGGCACGAAAGCCAGCTGGGTGACTCTGGGCCAATCACTGGGAGACTGGGAGTTCTATTCCCGCCTTAGGCACGAAAGCCAGCTGGGTGACTCTGGGCCAATCACTGGGAGACTGGGAGATCTAGTTCTGCCTCAGGCATGAAAGCTAACTGGGCGACTTTGAGCTAATATCTGGGAGACTGGGAGTTCTAGTCCCACCTTAAGCATGACAGCCAGCTGGGTGACTTTGGGCCAATCACTGGGAGATTGTGAGTTCTAGTCCCGCCTTAGGCACAAAAGCCAGCTGGGTGACTTTGGGCCAATCACTGGGAGATTATGAGTTCTAGTTCTGCCTCAGGCATGAAAGCCAGCTGGGTGACTTTGGGCCAATCACCAGGAGACTGGGAATTCTAGTCCCGCCTCAGGCATGAAAGCCAGCTGGGTGACTCTGGGCCAATCACTGGGAGATTGTGAGTTCTAGTCCCGCCTTAGGAATGAAAGCTAACTGGGCGACTTTGAGCTAATATCTGGGAGACTGGGAGTTCTAGTCCCACCTTAAGCATGACAGCCAGCTGGGTGACTTTGGGTCAATCACTGGGAGATTGTGAGTTCTAGTCCCGCCTTAGGCACAAAAGCCAGCTGGGTGACTTTGGGCCAATCACTGGGAGATTGTGAGTTCTAGTTCTGCCTCAGGCATGAAAGCCAGCTGGGTGACTTTGGGCCAATCACCAGGAGACTGGGAATTCTAGTCCCGCCTCAGGCATGAAAGCCAGCTGGGTGACTCTGGGCCAATCACTGGGAGATTGTGAGTTCTAGTCCCGCCTTAGGCATGAAAGCTAACTGGGCGACTTTGAGCTAATATCTGGGAGACTGGGAATTCTAGTCCCACATTAGGCAGAAAAGCCAGCTGGGTGACTCTGGGCCAATCACTGGGAGACTGGGAGTTCTAGTCCCGCCTTAGGCATGAAAGCTAACTGGGTGACTTTGAGCTAATCTCTGGGAGAATGTGAGTTCTAGTTCTGCCTCAGGCATAACAGCCAGCTGGGTGACTCTGGGCCAATCACTGGGAGATTGTGAGTTCTAGTTCCGCCTCAGGCATGAAAGACAGCTGGGTGACTCTGGGCCAATCACTGGGAGATTGTGAGTTCTAGTTCCGCCTCAGGCATGAAAGCCAGCTGGGTTACTTTGGGCCAATCACCAGGAGACTGGGAATTCTAGTCCCGCCTCAGGCATGAAAGCCAGCTGGGTGACTTTGAGCCAATCACTGGGAGATTGTGAATTCTAGTTCCGCCTCAGGCACGAAAGCCAGCTGGGTGACTCTAGGCCAATCCCCGGGAGACGGTGAGTTCTAGTCCGACCTTAGACGCGAGACCCAATTAGGTGACGTTGGCCCAGTCCCACTTCGCAGAGCCGTCGTCGTGGGGGAAGCAGGGGGAGGAAAAAGAATTAGGATTGTTTGCCCCCCCTCGAGTTATCTATAAAAATAACAGCGGGGCGTAAATAAATACACACACAAATAAGCAAACACACAAACAAACACAGGCCGATGAAGGTTTGTCTCGTTTGTGGAACTAACCTTCGTACGCCATCGCTGCCTCCACTTTCCGCCCCGGTGGGTTTCTCTCATGGGGCCTGTTGGCGTATCCATGGGGCAGGAGGGGCTGTTGGGCGGGCTTTTCCCCGTGACCGGCTTCGGAGCTTTGGGGAAGGCAGGGGTCAGGTGGGGGGCCTGCCGAGATACAAGAAGAGACAGGTGGGTCATGGGTTCAGAAGCTACCCTCCCTTGGGGGGGGGAGGAGGAAGAGGACGATGACGACTGTTGAGTCCTTGGTGCTCTTGCAGACATTTCATGGCCCAACTAGGGAACATCAGTGCTGGAAGGAAGGAAGGAAGGAAGGAAGGAAGGAAGGAAGGAAGGAAGGAAGGACTGTGGGGTCCTTGGTGCTCTCTGACTGTGGTGGTTTTCTTGCAGACATTTCATGACCCAACTAGGGAACATCAGTGCTGGAAGGAAGGAAGGAAGGAAGGAAGGAAGGACTGTAGGGTCCTTGGTGCTCTCTGACTGTGGTGGTTTTCTTGCAGACATTTCATGACCCAACTAGGGAACATCATCAGTGCTGGAAGGAGGAAGAGGAATAATAATAATAATATGGGGATTTGTTTGGCTGTTTTCTTGCAGACGTTTCATGACCCAACTAGGGAACGTCATCAGTGCTAGAAGGGAGGGGGGTTTGCGAGGAGGAGGAGGAAGGTTGCAAATGGCAATCACATGGCCCAAAATGCTGCCATGGTCACAAAGACACACTGCTTGCCAAGCATCCCAGTTTTGACCTTGACGATGCCACAACGGTCGTACGTGCGTGGACCAGTTCTCGGCCACCCTTTTCCGTGCAGCTGTAATTGTGAGCAGTCCTTAAACCAGGGGTGTCAAACGGCTGGCCTGTAGGCCGGTTGCATCCCACGGAGGCCGCGCCCACCCCAGCTCCAGCGACGCGAAAAAAGCCGCGACACGTCAGGCTACGCAACGCGTTTGACGCCCGTGCCCTAAACGAACGATGGTTACGTCAAAGAACATCTGTGCTTCGTTTCTTCCTACGGATGGGTGATGCCGCAACTCCCATCAGGCACAACTCGTATGTCCTCCTGGCTGGGGACGATGGGAGTTCCACCACAAAATCTGGGGGAGAGGGAGAGGCATGGCTAAGTGATGAAATTTGGAGATGTGAGACAGACGGGACCTCCATATATATATATGTGTGTCCTACCTAGCTCAGCATTGCGCATCCTTGGTGAATTGAAGAGCAGTGGGCTTCAACTCCCAGAATTCTCAGCAACGGCTATTGTGGAATTCTGGGAGTTGAAGTCCACATGAAAAGGAGTGGACTTCAACTCCCAGAATTCTCAGGAACGGCTGTTGTGGAATTCTGGGAGTTGAAGTCCACATGAAAAGGAGTGGACTTCAACTCCCAGAATTCTCAGCAACGGCTATTGTGGAATTCTGGGAGTTGAAGTCCACATTTCCCGGACACTGCCAAGGTTGGGAAGCTCTGTCCTCGTTGACGGCTTTGACCATCTTCTCCCAACCCCAGACCTACCGAACCGTCCTCTTCTTCCCCCTCGGTGTCTCTCCTTCTCCCCTGTTGCTCTTTGTTTGCCCATCGTGACTTTGGGGGTCAGCGGTCTGGCCACGGGGATGTCCTTCAGGCAGTTGAGCAACCCATGGAGAGGACTGGTGGCCGGACTCCACTCTGGGTCAGGAAGAAGAAGAAGAAGAAGAAGAAGAAGAAGAAGAAGAAGAAGAAGAAGAAGAAGAAGAAGAAGAAGAAGAAGAAGAAGAAGAAGAAGAAGAAGAAAAGAAGAAGAAGAAGAAGAAGAAGAAGAAGAAGAAGAAGAAGAAGAAGAAGAAGAAGAAGAAGAAGACTCAAGGGGGGAAAGCTGCAGGGATCTCCGAAGACATTGGCATCATGGTGGCTTCCATTAGAACCTGTTCTTCAGGGATGGGAAATGGGGAAGCCCCTCACTACGGGCACCTAGGTAAACCCAGACGCAGTTCCCAGGCTGGGCGGGAACCCCTGAACCAGCTCCTTCCTTCCTTCTCCCTTTTCTCCAGCATCTGACCTGGGTTTGGTTTCCCTTCTTGACTTCCCAGAATTGAAATCCCCGTCACTTTCTACGTCTTCTCAAAGCCAGAGATGTAGGCTTCACTTCAGTTGTCCCCATCCCATCCTGGCCTTGCTTTCTTGTATTGGGTGGGGGGCATGAGGATCATCTTGACTTCTTCATCCTCTCCCCAAGTCAACCCTGACTTTTACTTCGTCTCCCCAGCTCAATCTTGACTACTTCTTCGTCGTCCCAGCTCAACCTGGACTTCTTCATCTTCCCAAGTCAACCTTGACTTCTTTACCTCCCTAGGTCTACTCTGACTTCTTCATCTCCCCAGGTCAATTTTGACTTCTTCATCATCTCCCCAACATAACCCTGACTTCTTCATCTCCCCAGGTCAACCTTGACTTCCTCTTCATCCCCCCAGGTCAAGCTTGACTTCTTCATCTTCCCAAGTCAACCTTGAGTTCTTTACCTCCCTAGGTCTACCCTGACTCCTTCTTCATCTCCCCAGGTCAACCCTGACTTCTACATCTCCCCAGGTCAACCTTGACTTCTTCATCATCTCCCAACATAACCCTGACTTCTTCATCGCCCGAGGTCAACCTTGACTTCTTCATCCCCCCAGCATAATCCTTCTTCATCCCCCCAGGGCAACCTTGACTTCTTCCCCAAGTCAACCTTTACATCCCCAGGTCAACCTTCTTCATCTCCCCAGGTCAACCTTGACTTCTTCTTCATCTCCCCAACATAATCCTGACTTCTTCATTTCCCCAGGTCAACCTTAACTTCTACTTCATCTCCCCAGGTCAAGCTTGACTTCTTCATCTTCCCAAGTCAACCTTGACTTCCTTACCTCCCTAGGTCTACCCTGACTCCTTCTTCATCTCCCCAGGTCAACCCTGACTCCTTCTTCATCTCCCCAGGTCAACCTTGACTTCTTCATCATCTCCCCAACATAACCCTGACTTCTTCATTTTCCCAGGTCAACCTTGACTTTTTCTTCCCCCCAGCATAATCCTTCTTCATCTCCCCAGGTCAACCTTTACCTCTCTAGGTCTACCCTGACTTCTTCTTCATCTTCCCAGGTCAACCTTGACTTCTACATCTCCCCAAGTCAACCTTCTTCATCTCCCCAGGTCAGCCTTGACTTCTTCATTATCTCCCCAACATAACCCTGACTTCTTCATCTCCCCAGGTCAACCTTGACTTCTTCATCCCCTCCCCCCAGCATAACCTTGACTTCTTCTTCTTCATCTCCTCAGCTCAACCTTGGCCACAATCACTCAACTAGGGAATGCAAAAATTTGGGGGGGGGGAAAGAAACGACAGCCTTCCCACCCTTCAAGATGTGCTCCCCACACCCTCCCTACATGGTTTCTGCCTCACCATCCGAATACGGGATCGAAAGTTCCAGCTTGGACCCGGATTCTCTGGCACCAAGAGAGAAGCTGCTCCTCGGAAGGCCAAAGTGGGGGTAGCCCTTCTCTTCCAAGATATCCTCGTGGCCTCGCAGAGGGAGTTCTTCCTCAGATTTAACTGGGGGGAGACAAATGAAGGTATCTCTACTGCAGGTGCTTCCTTCTCCTATCTCTCTTTCCTTCCTTCCTTCCTTCCTTCTGTCCTTCCTTCCTTTTCCCATATCTCCTTCTTCCCTCCCCTTCCTTCATTTTTTCTTGCCATTCCCTTCCCTTCCTTTTCCTTCCCTTCATTACTTCTTCTTTCCATCTGTTCTCTCCTTCCTTCCATCCTTTCTTCTTTCCTCCATTTCCCTTTTTTCTCTTTCTTTCCTTCTCCTGTCTCTCTTTCCTTCTTTCTTCTTTCTCCTTCCTTCCTCCTTTCTTCTTGCCATTCCCTTCTCTTCTTTTTCCTTCCCTTCATTACTCCTTCTTTCCATCTGTTATCTCTCCTTCCTTCCATCCTTTCTTCTTTCCTCCCTTTCCCTTTTTTCTCTTTCTTTCCTTCTCCTCTCTTTCCTTCTTCTTTCTCCTTCCTTCCTCCTTTCTTTTTGCCATTCCCTTCCTTTCCTTTCCTTACTCCTTCCTGCCTTCCTCTATCTCTCTCCTTCCTTCTTTCCCTTCCTTCCTTCTTCCCCTCTCCCTTTTCTTTCATTCCTTCCCCATCTCTCCTTCCTTCCTTCTCTTTCCTCCCTCCCTTCCTTTTCTCTTTCCCTCTCTCCCTTTCTTTCTTTCCTTCCTTCCTCCTCCCTCCCTCTTCTCCCTCCCTCCCTCCCTCCCTCTCTTTCTTTCTTTCTCTTTTTCTTTCTTCCTTTCTTTTTCTCTCTTGTCCTTCCTTCCTTCCTTCTTTCCCCTCTCCCTTTTCTCTTTCATTCCTTCCCCATCTCTCCTTCCTTCTTTCCTCCCTTCCTTCCTTCTTTTCTCTTTCCCTCGGTCCCTTTTTCTTTCCTTCTTTTTTCTTTCCTTCCTTCCTCCTCCCTCCCTGTTCCCCTCCCTCTCTTTCTTTCTTTCTCTTTCTTTTTCTTTCCTCCTTTCTTTTTCTCTCTTGTCCTTTCTTCCTTCCTTCCTTCCTTCCCCTCTCCCTTTTCTCTTTCGTTCCTTCCCCATCTCTCCTTCCTTCCTTCTTTCCTCCCTTCCTTCCTTCTTTTCTCTTTCTGTCCCTTTTTCTTTCTTTCTTTCTTTTTTCCTTCCTTCCTCCTCCCTCCCTGTTCCCCTCCCTCTTTCTTTCTTTCTTTCTTTTTCTTTCCTCCTTTCTTTTTCTCTCTTGTCCTTTCTTCCTTCCTTCTTTCTTCCCTTCCTTCCTTCTTTTCTCTTTCCCTCTCTCCTTCTTTCTTTCTTTCTTTCTTTCTTTTTCTTTCCTCCCTTCCTCCTCCCTACCTCTTCTCCCTCCCTCCCTGTCTCTCTTTCTTTCTCTTTCTTTTTCTTTTTCTCTCTTGTCCTTCCTTCCTTCTTTCCTCCCTCCCTCCTTCTTCTTTTCTTTCCCTCTTTCCCTCTCTCCCTGCCAGTTTGGACCGATGTTCCAGTTCCTTCCTCCCTCCCTCCCTCCCCTTCTCCCAGTGCTTGAGGGCAGCCATGAAACTCAACCCCCAAAAACACACCTGGAGGGAAGAAGCTTACCACAAACGGCCGAGGTGCCGGATCGCTCTGGGGTTTTCTCCCAGCTTCCACTTGCATGGAAAACCACCAATGCAGGCTCTCCCTGCGGGTCCTGCCACGAGGAGCTGCCGCCCACCTGCTCTATTTTAACTGCAGACACCCAGAAACGCGGCCCTTAGTCCCGTCTTTGCTGGAGACAAGAACAGGAAGCGAGCCCCTTCTCTACCAACCCCACTCCCACCCTCGGCAGCCAGGAAACTTCCCCCCAGCAAGATGGGATTTGGGATCGGCAGCCACAGGACCACCAGCAAGCCACGCACCTGCCGGAAATGACAAGAGTTGGAAGGGACCTTGGAGGTCTTCTAGTCCAACCCCCTTGATCAAGCAGGAAACCCTTCCCTCCTCCTCCTCCTCTTCTTCCTCCTCCACCTCCTCCTCCTCCTTCTTCTCAAAATAACAGAAGGGGCCTTGGAGGTCTTCTAGTCCAACCCCTGATCAAGTAGGGGACCCCTCCTCCTCCTCCCTCCCTCCCTCCCTCCTTTCCATCAACCCATCATCCATCTCTCTCTCCCACCTGGAAAATTTGGTCTCCTGCCCCCCTCGGGCTGGGGGATGGAAGGGTTCCCCTTGGCTGCCAACGAAGACCCTGGTCCTTCTCTGGGGTTGGGGACCCCCAGTTCCTCTTCGGAAGCTTCCCTCTTAACTGCAGACGGGAACGGTAAGGAGGAATGAAAATCGAGACATTGGAAGATTGTTTTTTTTTTTAAAAAAAAACCAGTTGAAAAACACGGTGCTGTAATTCTAACAGGGACCACATGGAAAAGTTGAAACTGGCTCATTTAGGCGGGCGTCAGATCCTTTTCCAATTGCTTGTGTGTGTGTGTGTGTGTGTGTGTGTTATTAAATGAATCACTGCAGTTGCTAAGTTAGTAACGTGGTAGTGGTAGTGGTGATGGTGGTGGAGGAGGAGGAAGAAGAAGAGGAGCAGAAGGAGGAAGAGAAGACAAGGAGGAGGAAGAAGAAGAGGAAGGAGGAGGAGGAGAATAAGAGGAAGATGATGAGAAGATGAGGAGGAGGAGAAGACGAGGAGGAAGAAGAACAAGAAGAAGAAGAGGAGGAAGAGAAGAAGAAGAGGAGGAGGAGGAAGAAGAAGAAGAAGAGGAGGAGGAGGAGGAGCAGAAGGAGGAAGAGAAGACGAGGAGGAAGAAGAAGAGGAGGAGGAGAAGAGGAGGAGGAAGAGGAAGAAGAAGAGGAGAAGGAGAAGAAGATGAGAAGACAAGGAGGAGGAGGAAGAGGAAGAAGAAGAGAAGGAGGAGAAGAAGAAGAAGATGAGAAGACGAGGAGGAGGAGGAGGAGACGAGGACGAAGAAGGAAGAAGAGGAGGAGGAGGAGGAAGAGAAGAAGAGGAGGAAGAAGAAGAAGAAGAGGAGGAGGAAGGAGCAGAAAGAGGAAGAGAAGATGAGGAGGAGAAAGAAGATGAAGAGGAGGAGGAGAAGAAGATGAGAAGACGAGGAGGAGGAGGAGGAGGAGGATGAGAAGACAAGGAGGAGGAGGAAGAAGGAAGAAGAGGAGGAAGAAGAAGAAGAGGAGGAGGAGGAAGAAGAGGAGCAGAAGGAGGAAGAGAAGATGATGAGGAGGAAGAAGATGAAGAGGAGGAGGAGGAAGGAGGGGGAGGAGAAGAAGAAGAAGAAGAAGAAGAAGAAGAAGAAGAAGAAGAAGAAGAAGAAGAAGGGAGGAGGAGAAGACGAGGAGGAGGAAGAAGAAGAAGAGGAAGAGGAGGAGGAGGAAGAAGAAGAAGAGGAGGAGGAGGAGGAAAGGGTCTCATGCCTGAGCAGAGAGCTGGACTAGAAGACCTCCAAGGTCTCTTCCAGCGCCACTATTTTGTTATTCTGTCATTCTGCAATTCAGTTATTCCGCAATTCGGTTCAACTCTTCCCTTATTTTGTAATTCTGTGATCCCACCATTTCGTCCAGCTCTTGTGTCACTCTGTCATTCGGTTATTCTGTCATTCTGTCCGGCGTCCTTCTGTTATTCTGTCATTCTACAGTTCGGTTATTATTCTATCATTCTGCTATTCTATTATTTGGTGATTCGTCGGTTATTCGGCTCTTCGGTTATTCTGTTCTTTGATTGTTCTGCGTAGATGTCCTTTCCTCTCCTGAAATGTACACATACGAGTACCTCCTTCTGCCTGCAGGAGTCCATCTTACTCTTTTCTGGAATGAAATTCCTACAGCACCCACCAGGGGGGAATTTACTGCACTGAGCCTTAATTACAGCTAATCCTGGATTTATAGCAATTCACTTAGTAACCATTCAAAGTTACAACGGCCCTGAAAAAGGTGACGATTATTCATACTTAACAGCTGTTGTGGCATCCCCAGGGCCACGGGATCAAAATCCAAACGCTGGGCAACCGGCTCATCTTTACGACAGTCGCAGTATCCCGGGATTCACACGATCCCCTTGACCGGCGAAGCCAAATGGGGAAGTCAAATTTATTTAACAGCCGGGTTACCAACTTAAACCCCGGCTGTGATTCGCTTCAGCAAGCATGGCGAGAACGATGGGTAACGTGGTGCCAAACTCGCTGAGCGAAACGTTTCACTTAGCAGAACAGAAATTGGGGCTCCATTGAGGTCGTAAATTGAGGACTGCCGGTATTCGTTCGGGGGGGCCTGCGTTGGCTCCCACCACAGGAGGGAGGCGTCCGAGGAGAATCGACAGTCAGCTAAAAGAAGGGGAAGGTGGATCGAGACTCACCTTGCCTGGGTAAGGCGTCATTCCTGCCTCCCCGTTGCCTGACTCCGAGGGTCTCGGATCGCCTCTGGATGGAAGCCTTCAAGGGGCCTTGGGGGCTACGGCCAGGCTGCAGGGTAACCAGCTCCTTCAGGCACTTCAGCAACCCTTGGAGGGGTTTCTCTTCCGACCTTGCTTCTACAGAAGAGGAAGAAGATAAGAGATAAGATGATAAGATGAGATAAGATGATATGAGATGAGGGATGGGATGAGATGGGATAGGGTGATAAGATGGGATGAGGTAAGGTGAGATGAGATTAGGGATAGGATAGGATAATAAGATAAGACGAGACGAAACGAGACGATAGGATAGGATAGGATAGGATAAGATAGGATAGGATAGGATAGGATAGGGTGAGAAGATAAGATGAGATAAGATAAGATGATAAGATGAGATGAGATATAAGATGGATAGGATAGGATAATAAGACGAGATGAGACGATAGGATAGGATAGGATAGGGTGAGAAGATAAGATGAAATGAGATAAGACGAGATAAGATGATAAGATGAGATATAAGATGGATAGGATAGGATAATAAGATAAGACGAGACGAGATGATAGGATAGGATAGGATAGGATAGGGTGAGAAGATAAGATGAGATAAGATGAGATGAGATATAAAATGGATAGGATAGGATGATAAGATGATGAGATGATAAGGTAAGGTAAAGTAGGGTAGTGTAGGGTAATGTAGGGTAGGATAGGATAGGATAGGACGAGAGGAGAGTGGAATGGAGAGGAGAGGAATGGAATGGAGAGGAGTGGAATGGAGAGGAGAGGAGTGGAATGGAAAGGAGAGGAGTGGAATGGAAAGGAGAGGAGAGGAGTGGAATGGAGAGGAGAGGAATGGAATGGAGAGGAGAGCAGAGGAGTGGAATGGAGAGGAGAGGAGAGGAATGGAAAGGAGAGGAATGGAATGGAGAGGAGAGGAGTGGAATGGAGAGGAGAGGAATGGAATGGAGAGGAGAGGAGTGGAATGGAGAGGAGAGGAATGGAATGGAGAGGAGAGGAATGGAATGGAGAGGAGTGGAATGAGGAGAGGAGAGGAATGGAGAGGAGAGGAATGGAATGGAATGGAGAGGAGAGGAGAGGAGAGAATGGAAAGGAGAGGAGTGAGGGGAGAGGAATGGAGAGGATAAGACTGTCATAACTTTGAACTGTCCTGAAACGAACAGTCATGAGTCGAGGACTACCACAATCCTTGTTGCTGCTCACTTCAACTGAGGCCACCTGCTCACCCTGTTTCCCGGCCCTGCCTAAATGTCCCAGGAGCAGAGATGCATCGCAGAGTGAAAAGCACATCTGCATGCTATGCAGTTAGTCCTAAACACATCCCAGGGGGTTGGACTAGAAGACCTCCAAGGTCCCTTCCGGCTCTGTTATTCTGTTAATGGCTTTGTCCCCATCCGAGTTCCCAAATTACAAACCTGGCACCGACTTTGGCGATGCCTCGCCGGACCTTTTCAGAAGCTCCTTTTCAGCCGCAGCCTCGGGCACCGTCTTTCCGTCCTCAGATTGGCGGCCAGCCTCAGAGATGCTTTGCAAAGTTCCCGGCGATACGGGTTCCTCTGCCCCTCCATCCCCCCAGGAACGGGATTGGTCCAGACAGCCAGAATCTGCAGAAGAGTCTTTACAATAAAGAAGATGAAGGATAGGATAGGATAGGATAGGATACGATAGGATACGATACGATACGATACGATACGATAAGGTAAGGTAGAATAGAATAGAAATAGAAATAGAATAGAATAGAATAGAATAGAATAGAATAGAATAGAATAGAATAGAAATAGAATAGAACGGAACAGAACAGAAATAGAATAGAACAGAACAGAATAGAAAATATGGAACGGAATAGAATAGAAAATATGAAATGAAATGGAACAGAATGGAACAGGATAGAATAGAAAATATGGAATGGAGTGGAAGAGAACAGAACGGAACAGAATAGAATAGAAAATACGGAATGGAGTCGAAGAGAACAGAACGGAACAGAATAGAGTAGAAAATATGGAGTGGAGTGGAATGGAATGGAATAGAACGGAACAGAATGGAAGAGAATAGAATAGAAAAAATGGAATGGAATAGAACAGAACGGAACAGAATAGAGTAGAAAATATGGAATAGAGTGGAAGAGAACAGAACGGAACAGAATAGAATAGAAAATATGGAATGGAGTGGAAGAGAACAGAACGGAACAGAATAGAATAGAAAATATGGAGTGGAGTGGAATGGAATGGAACAGAACAGAAAGGAACAGAATGGAAGAGAATAGAATAGAAAATATGGAATAGAACAGAACAGAATGGAATGGAGTGAAATGGAACAGAACAGAATAGATGTTTTCAGTTTGAACAGTCACTAAACATACTGTTGTCAGTTGAGGACTACCCGTAAAGATGAATGTATCTTTTTGTCCATTATTTTCTGGAGGGAATTCCTCCAGAGTACACTATTCAATAAATAAACACTGCCCTTGGTTTTTGTTTTTTTTGATCCCGCGTTCGATTCCACATTTCTCCAGCCTTTCAAGGTCCAGGGGCGCCTTTGTGGTCGCAAACATCTCCGCGAGGAGACTGAACTGATGGTAACCAGCTTGGATCCAATTTTTGCAACGGGAAGGGATATCAAACCTGTGGGAAGGGCCGGATGAAGAAGACAGGGGGCCGGAAGACCCTTCCTTAAACTTACCATCAGTGTCCAGCCTCGGGTCCATTTCTGGGCTGTGCTTCTGCTCCATCGAGAGACGAGGACACCAAAGGAAAAGACCTTCCTCGGATTTCAGCTGCCTTTCGGCTAGGTTCTCCTTGGTCAACGACTCTGCACAGGCTGCTACTTCTGCATCAACAGGAAGAAAAATAAGACTAGAATCAACATCATGTGAAGTGTTAATACGGGTGATCCTCAACTTACAACAGTTTGTTTAGAGACTGCTCAAACTTACGAAGGCATTGATAAAAGGGACAGAGGACCGTTCTCCACACATATGACCCTTGCAGCATCCCCACAGTTATGTGATCAAAATTCAGATGCTTGGCAACTGATTCACAGTTATGACAGTGTTAATGACAATGGCACCGAAAAGAAGGATTTCTGACCGCACTTACAACTGTTGCAGCATCCCCACAATCATGGGATCAAAATTCAGACACTTGGCAACTGATCCAGGACGGTGGCAATGACAACAGCCCTGAAAAAAGAGACTGAGGACCTTGTTTCACACTGACCATCCTTGTAGATCTCATTTTGTGACCTGCTGGCAAGCAAAGTCAACAAGGAAGTTGGAATCACATACCAATCGGGCGACTAACTTATCAACTGCAATGATTCACTTAACCACGATGGCAAGAAAGGTTGTAAAATGGAGCAAAACTCAGTTAATAAGTGTCTTGCTGAAGAACTGAAATATTTGTGGTTGTAAGCCAAGGACTACTGGTACCGCAAAGCCTCTGATCAACACAGAACGTCTTATCCAGCAGAGAGGGTGTCTCAGTAGCTCATCAGAGAGTACAGGGGGATGGCCTGCCAGTGGATGAGGAGACCTGTGTGATCCACAGTCTCGCTTCTGTGTATTGTACAAGTTGCCGTTTTCCCTTCAGAGAAGTACCTTTTCAATATGGGTTGTCCTCGACTTATGACAGGGGTTGGCAACCTTAAACACTGAAAGAGCCACTTGGACCCATTTCCCAGAGAAAAGAAAACACTGGGAGCCGCAAAACCTGCACATGCACGCGCGCGCACAAGAAAGGGGGAGCTTGATTGAAGAGTTTAATTAAAAAGAAATAGAGGCTACTGTGATGAGTTCTCTCTCCCTCTCTCTCTCTCCGCCCCTCTCTCTCCCTCTCTCTCTCCCCCCCCTCTCTCTCCCTCTCTCTGATCTGCTCACCTGGCAAGCTGGCTTCACGCTGTTCTCCGACAAGCTGACACACATTCTTATTGGGCTGGCTCTCCTGCCCTTGGTCTGCCAGTCCTCTTCCCCCACTCAGTGTGTGTGTGTGTGTGTGTGTGTGAGAGAGAGAGAGAGAGAGAGAGAGAGAGAGAGAGAAGCTGCTTTCTGCTGCTTCCTGCTTCCTGCAGAGACGCAGCAAAGGCAGGAGCCCCGCCCAATAGGCTTGTCGGCTTGTTGGAGAGCAGCATGAGCCAGAAGATCGGAGAGAGAGAGAGAAGAGAGAGAAGGGAAGCGCACGTGCCTCTCTCTGTCTCTGTCTCTCTCTCTCTGCAACTGGCGAAGGAGGACTGGAGCCGCAGCAGAAGGCTGAAAGAGCTGCATGCGGCTCCGGAGCCACAGGTTGCCGCCCCGTGACTTATGACCATAATTGAGCCCAAAATTTCTGTAATTAAGAAAGACAGTTATTAAGCAAATTTACCCCCATTTTAGGAAGTTTCTTGCTGCAGTTATGAAGTGAATCACTGCTGTTGTTAAGAGAATAATACAATTGCAAAGTTGTGAAGTAACCCTAACCCCAACCCTTTCTCATTGACTTTGCTTGTCAGAAGGTTACAAAAGGGGATTACGTGATTCTGGAACACTGTTGACCGTCATAAATAGGAGTCAGTTGCAAAGCATCCAAATTTTGATCCCGCGACTACGGGGAAATGCTGCAACGGTGGTAAATCACTTTTTTTTCCACTTAGAACGGTCACGAAACGAACGGCCGTAACTTGAGGACTACCTGTCTCGTCCCAGTGAAGGACCAACCTGCTCCCTTCAATCCCTGAGCATCGCAGGGGGCAAACGTGCCTTGGCTGGTGGGCTCCGACCAGTCTCCCTCTGGGCTGCTGCTGCTGGGAGTCTTCGCTGGGCTGGAGGCACTCAGGGAAACCAAGCTGGTTAAGGGTTCGAGTCGTCCGAAGTGTGGAGAACTCTTCAACTGGACAGCGGGACTCGCTGGAAAAAAAAAAAAGATCAGACGCTCACAAATTCCCGCAACTCTCACAAACTCCCGCAAGGTATTTCCACCGTTCAGCGAAGTCCAGGCAGGGATCTGCGTGTGATTGGCGGGGGGGGGAATGTTTCACAACTCCTGGGAGCCAAGGACAACCGAGAAGAATGAAGAGGAAATCAGTCACGATCCCATCGGATGCCCCATCGGAGGAGAAGTTCAAACAGGGACCATCCGACAGGGGTGGCATGTTTGGAAAGGCCAGGGCGTGAGGACAAAGCTGTCCCGGGAGCCTCCAGCATGAGAGAGAGGTGGCCAATCGGATGGGGAGCTGCCTACTCTCACAATTGCAGGAGAGGATCAGCTGCGGACAGGCAGAGAGGCAGCAGATTCCCTCTGACGAAGAACAGCTGCCTCCCCCGCGCAATCCGAAGGCCCGGAGAGTGGAGGGGAGGCAAGCTCCAAGAAGATCTGCCAAGTTGCTGGCGAGGAGGCCGCTTTGTCCCTCCTCATAAGGAACACCCGATTTGAGGTTTAAATCGGGTGTCTCCATCGGGTGACAATTGTCTAGCTTTGGCACCCACTTCCCCGGCCTTTGTAAACTCCGCTTTGGACCGTGATTCTGCTTTGGACCACGTTTTTGCTTTGGACCGTGTTTCTTCCCTGCGGACCCTGACCCTTACTTGTCGACTACAGACCCTCGCCTGTGGACTTTGCACCTTGTTTTGGGACTCTGGACTTCCTCCTTGCCTTCTGAATCGGCTCTAGTGACTATTCACTTCGTGTCTACGGAGATTCTCAGTCATCCAGGCCACGGTTGTCCCAAAGGTGCTTTTTCAGGAGGTAACTGGACTACTCAGATGACCTTGAGGACCCAGGTAAACCTCCAAGTGGCTTCAACGACTCTCTAAAACAGTGATGGCGAACCTTTTAGAGCCCGAGTTCCCAAACTGCAACCCAAAACCCACTTATTTATCGCCGGGTGCCAGGTGGGCGTGGCCCACTGGGTGGGCATGGCTGTGGTGGTCATAACAGACTGGGTGGGTGTGGCCAAGCTGGGCATGGTCACCTCGATGTTGCTCGTGGGGAGGGACACCTGTGGGGGCCAGGCAGGGTTGGGGGAGATCCGGGGGGTCTCTGGCAGGTGGGGGCGGTGGGCAGGAGGCTCGTCCTGTGGGGTGAGGCTGGGTGAGGCGAGGCAGGGTGGGGGTGCCATTGTCGCAGGGGATGGGGCAGCTGCTGCCTGACACCATTGGCCCCCGCACACAGAGGCCAGCGAGCGCATGGGGGCCGACACTGCCCATCAGCAGCCACAGCCTGCCGGCCCCTCTATAGGCACACTCTGGGACTCTGCAGCCCATCGCCAGCAGTTCAGAGAAGCCGCCTCTGAGCTGGACGGACGGCCGACAGCTGAGGAGGCGATGCAGTGGGTCGTGCCCTTGAAAAGGAGAGCATGCAAGGCCAGGAGGGATGGGATGGGGGGGGAAGGAGGGAAACCAGCCATGTTGGGATGCATCCGGCCACGTGGGAGCTCAGCGAGTTAGCGGGTGGCTGGTTGAAGAGGGACAGTTGCCATCTCCAGGGTATGGTGCGTGTTCCCACAGAGAGGGCTCTGAGTGCTGCCTCTGGCACGCGTGCCATAGGTTCGCCCCCACTGCTCTAAAAGGATGCAAATGACCAGCTGTCCGCAAGGAGAATAAATCCTTCCATTTCCCCACCATCCAGTCAAAGCCGAAGAAGCTTCTTGGATCAGAAGCGAAACGTCTTCAAAGGAAAAACAAGAAAGTCCAGCTGCCTCGTAAAAAAAAACACTTTGGGGACTATTCACTTTCGTTTGTGGGCCTGGGTTGTACCGACAATGGGCGGCTGCCTTTGGGGAAATTTGGGGTAGAGATTCACCAGCTTTGTAGAGCCATTCGTTGTAGGATGGTAGAGCAATAAAGGACTCTTTCGAAGCCTGCCTCTGCCTGGGCCAGTAGTTCCCCATCCTTCCTGCCTTTGCAGATCAGTGGTGGTGGGGGGAGAGGGAATGGTCCAATGTGAGTGGCAGGTGCGTGCGCTTGCGTGCATAGCTCCATCTGCACGAGCGGCGAGCCCTCGCATGTGACGCTCCATTTGTGCCCGCCGCTTGCACAAACGGAGCTTCACGTGCGTGTTACGGTTCCGGCTAATGAAACATTCTAAAGAACTTCCAGGCATTTATTTTCCTAAAAGTCTTTTATTGTTACAAAATGTCGGCACAGGCACAACGGAGGCATGCTAGGATCTAAGTGCTCTTCCTCTGAGCAGTTACATTATCAGCATGTTCCCTCCCTAAATTAGCTGTCATATCTCACACTATCCAATTGGCGGGAAGGTCAAAGGTTTTCTTCCTCTTTCTTTCCCCGGGCTTTACCCCCAACCCCCATTCTGCTCTGTATTAACCCCGTAATTACCAGACAATTCTGCATATTGTCAAAAGCAAGAATATACAATAGTTGCAGCGTTGACAGTGCGCTTCCGAGTGCCCACCACTCGCGCAGATGAGTGCACACGCTCGCCCACCGCTTGTGTGGCCCGGTTCCAAACAGGCCATGGCCCAGGGCATTGGGGGACCTCTGGCTTAGGTGACCCGGGTCGTAACAAAATCTGCTCAGCCGTGCGGCCGAGGCGCTTACCGTGGCCTCGGCCTTCGCTGCCGCCAGCCGGCGTGGATCGCTCCAGACCTGCGTGCACGTGTCCGCAAAGGAACTCTGGAATTTCATTAACCAGCTTCATGAGGGCGCAGAGGTGGTGGCTGCTTTGATCCCTACCTGTGTGGGGAATAGGGACTTCAGGGGAAGGCCGGAATAGATGAGGGAAAGGACGCCGTCCCAGTGTGGCCACTTCTGAGTGGAAAATTACGGAGGAAGTGACCTTGCCCTTAATCCGTAACTCTCCCCTTCAAATGTGTTACAACGCCCAGAGGCCTGACCTAGAACAGCCCCAGGCTTAAACCATTGGGCATTCCTGTCCCGGCACATCTGGAGGGTAATGACATGAGAAGGACGATGGAAAGAAACGTCGCCCCGATTCTTTTCCGCTCTTACCTGCCTCGTCGCCCGCTGCAGCTAGATGCTCCTCGGCGCTGTCCAGCTGCAGGTTGCAGAATTCTTTCATGTCCTCTGGACAAGGGGGCTCTCCACCTGGGGGGGGAGGGGAAGAGAGAGGTCACCGACCAGCCAAAGGATGTACTGGCTCAGCCCGTTTGATCGATGCTGTCGCAGAGTAAGGAAACGGACATCAGTTGAGGTAAGTTGTGAAAAAAGTCAGGTTCTACATCTAGGCAAGAAAAACCAAATGCACAGGTATAGTATAGGGGGTACCTGGCTCAATAGTAGCAACTGTGAGAGGGACTTCAGAGTCCTAGTGTACAATCCCTTAAATAGGAGCCAGTCGTGTGCTGCAGCTGCCAAAAAGGCCAACATAGTGCTAGGCTGCATTAACGGAGGGACAGAATCAAGATCACGTGAAGCGTTAATACCACTTTACAAGGCCTTGGTAAGGCCAAACTTGGAACACAGCATCCCTGTTTTGGTCACCACGATGTAAAAAAGATGTTGAGACTCTAGAATAGCGTTTCTCAACGTTTGTGTGACGGCGACCCCTGTCACACAAACGTGCCGCGCATGCGCGGTGCTGCCCCCTGAGGGGGGAAAATGGCGGATCGCATTGTTTGCTGACCCCCGTAAAATGGTTGATCAACCCCAAATGGGGTCGCGACCCATAGGTTGAGAACCGCTGCTCTAGAACATTGGTTCTCAACCTGTGGGTCGGGACCCCATTTGGGGTCGAACGACCATTTCACGGGGGTCACCAAACAACGCAGTCCGCCATTTTTTTCCCCCTTTTCCTTAGCTGTGCTCCTCCCTTTTATTCTATTGGCTTTTGAAAGCCAATAGAATAGATTCTCTTGAATAGAGTCTAATTCTATTGGCTTTCAAAAGCCAATAGGAATTGTCCAGGCTGTCTCTGCCCTGCTAAGCCCGCCAAAAGTCCCCTTCTGCAAACGGTGCTGCACCAGTTGAGTAGTCCTCGACTTACGACCGATTGAGTAGTCCTCGATTTACGACCGGTTGGGGGTCGCGGCATTAAAAAGGTTGAGAACCACTGCTCTAGAAAGAGTGCAGAGAAGAGCAACAAAGAGGATCAGGGGACTGGAAGCTAAAACATATAAGGAACAGTTGCTGGAATTGTGTATCTAGTTTAACGAAGAGAAGGACGAGGGGGGACAGGATAGCAGTCTTCCAGTATCTCAGGGGCTGCCCCAAAGAAGAGGGAGTCAAGCTATTCTCCAAAGCGCCTGAAGGCAGGACAAGAAGCAACGGATGGAAACTCATCAAGGAGAGAAGCAACCTAGAACTAAGGAGAAACTTCCTGACAGTGAGAACAATTAAACCAGTGGAACCACCTGCGTCCAGAAGCAGTGAATGCTCCAACACTGGAGGTTTTTACAAAGAGACTGGACAGCTATTTGTCCGAAATGGGATAGGTTTTCTGCCTGAGCAGGGGGTTGGACTAGACGACCTCCAAGGTCCCTTCCAACTTTATTATTATTATTAAGTCTGACTGTTTTCCTCCGCTTATGCTCTATGTATACACAGAGTGGTGGGATGCAAATATGTGAACAGCCGGTTCTCGGGGTGGATGCCGCTTCCGGAAGTCCATTCTGGCCCTGGACAACCAAACATTAGCTGTGAGATTGAAGTAATATCGTATGTTTTGTAATCTATTAAATGTTACAATAGTCGGTTGATCTAATTTTTATGAAGATATAAGTAAAATATAAGCTGATTAAAAAGGATGTTATATCGAGATACAGATAAGACAGATATAAAAAATATAGTATTTCTATAATGCATGACGTAAAATATTGGGATGATGTTCCTCAATGGGAAAATTTAGACAGTCGGACGACTAATATGAAGAAATGATGATTGATAAGAATTGGATTGGACATAAGCGAACAAAAATTATAAAAAGAGGATTGATGCTGAACTAACGAGATGATGGTTATGAGAATAATATAAGCTGGGGGCAAAATGTTACATGTAGAGATTATTATTATTTGTATAAATATAAAAAATGGCTATGCCTAATCCGAAATGGTATAGAGTTTCCTGCCTGAGCAGGGGGTTGGACTAGATGACCTCCAAGCACCTTCCAATTTTATTTATTTATTTAAACTTCCTGACAGGGAGAACAATTAATCAGTGGAACAGCCTGCCTCCAGAAGCAGTAAATGCTCCATCACTGGAAGTTTTTAAGAAGAGACTGGACAGCCATTTGTCCAAAATGGTGTAGGGTTTCCTGCCTGAGCAGTGGGTTGGACTAGATGACCTCCAAGGTCCCTTCCAACTTTACTACTACTACTACTACTACTACTACTACTACTACTACTATTATTATTATTATTATTATTATTATTGATCATTGCAGTCAGCCAGATGTTCAGACTGGATTTGGCACTATTATTATTATTATTATCATTATTATTATTATCATTATCATTATTATTATTATTATGGATCATCGCACAGTCAGCCAGATGTTCAGACTGGATTTGGCATTTTGTCTACCTATCGAGTCCTTACCCAGGACCTGGGATAGGCAGATGTGGATGTTTGATGGTATTACAGATATCGTCGCAGGATGGAAGCAGTTCCTAATAAGGCCGCCTTTTGCAATTGACTAATAGCGAATTTGTCAATGCCAATGGTGTTCAAGTGGTGCTCCAGTTGTTTTGGGATTGCACCCAAGGAGCCTATGACTATTGGTACTACCCTTGCTTGCTTTTGACACAGTCTTTCTATTTCTATTTGTAGGTCTTTGTATTTTGTTATCTTCTCCAGTTCTTTCTCTTCTATTCTGCTGTCTCCAGGCACTGCCACATCCACTATCCAGACTTTTTTGTCTGTCTTATCGACAATTGTTAAGTCCGGGGTGTTATGTTGCAGGTGTTTGTCTGTTTCAATTCTGAAATCCCAGAGCAGTTTAATTTTATCATTTTCTATGACTTTCTCTATTTTATGATCCCACCAGTTCTCGCTTACAGGTAAATGATATTTCTTGCAGTTCTTCCAATGCACCATTGTTGCTACTTTGTCATGCCACTGCTTGTAGTTAGTCTGTGCGATCTTATTATTTATTTATTTATTTATTTATTTATTTATTATTTATTATTATTATTAATATACTGAAAATATTAAGAATTATATTTTAACTAAGGTAGAAGAAGGAAAATACAAATGGGAGAAGGGAAGACCAAAGAAACGTATTATTAGTAATAGTAATAGTAGTAAAGTTGGAAGGGACCTTGGAGGTCATCTAGTCCAACCCCCTGCTCGGGCAGGAAACCCTACACCATTTCGGACAAATGGCTGTCCAGTCTCTTCTTAAAAACTTCCAGTGTTGGAGCATTTACTGCTTCTGGAGGCAGGCTGTTCCACTGATTAATTGTTCTCACTGTCAGGAAGTTTCTCCTTAGTTCTAGGTTGCTTCTCTCCTTGATTAGTTTCCACCCGTTGCTTCTTGTCCTGCCTTCAGGTGCTTTGGAAAATAGCTTAATTCCCTCTTCTTTATGGCAGCCCCTGAGATATTGGAATACTGCTATCATGTCCCCCCTTGTCCTTCTCTTCGTTAAACTAGACATACCCAATTCTAGCAACCGTTCCTTATATGTTTTAGCCTCCAGTCCCCTAATCATCTTTGTTGCTCTTCTCTGTACTCTTTCTAGAGTCTCAACATCTTTTTTACATCGTGGTGACCAAAACTGGATGCAGTATTCCAAGTGTGGCCTTACCAAGGCATTGAAGAGTGGTATTAATACTTCGCGTGATCTTGATTCTATCCCTCTGTTAATGCAGCCTAGTACTGTGTTGGCCTTTTTGGCAGCTGCAGCACACTGCTGGCTCATATTTAACTGATTGTCTACTAGGACTCCGAGGTCCCTCTCACAGTTACTACTATTGAGCATGGTGCCACCTATGCTGTACTTGTGCATTTGGTTTTTCTTGCCTAAATGTAGAACCTTGCTTTTTTCACCATTGAATTTCATTTTGTTAGTTAGTGCCCAGTGTTCAAGTCTGTCCAGATCTTTCTGTATCTTAAGCCTGTCTTCTGGAGTGTTGGCTATTCCTGCCAGCTTGGTGTCGTCTGCAAATTTGATGAGTTCCCCATCTATCCCTTCATCCAAATCGTTGATGAAGATGTTGAAGAGTACTGGGCCCAGAACAGAGCCCTGGGGCACCCCACTACACACTTCCCTCCATATAGATGCAGTTCCATTGAGGACCACTCGCTGAGTACGGCCGGTCAGCCAGCTACGGATCCATCTGGTGGTGGTTCTGTCTACCCCACATTTTTCTATCTTGTCAAGTAGTAGGTTGTGATCTACTTTATCAAATGCCTTACTGAAGTCCAAGTAAATTATGTCCACAGCATTCCTCTGATCCACTAATTTTGTCACTTGGTCAAAGAATGCAATAAGATTTGTCTGGCATGATCTATTTTTGACAAACCCATGTTCATTATGGAACTATCAAACGTAATCATGATTGACCGTTAATTCATTATTACCGTCCTTTTTTTCCCCCTTGTTAAAATATAAACCAAGACAATGCGCCGTACACCAGGTGCGGGAGCTTGTTATAGTTAAAAAACAATAAAATAGCTATAATAATAATAATAATAATAATAACAACAACAACAACAAAATTAGCTATCATAGTCTGCCGAAGTGGTGCGAACTGGCTGAATCCCACCCCTGTATACACAGTACAAGGCAGTGAGCCCTGTGCAGATCTGAATGTTGGGGGAAAACACCAACCACTTCACAAACGCATGGCACAACATGGGGGAACAAACCCATCAGGACCAGAGTCAGCCGTTCGTCTGCATTTGAAAGATGAAGGCGGCTCCTTCGAAGACAGCAAAGTCCACATTCTGGACAGAGAGGGCCGCTGGTTCAAAAGAGGGGTCCAAGAGGCCATCTAGACCAAAACTGAACCGCTCTCCCTCAACAGAGGGGGGGGATACGACACCATCCATCTCCAGTCTACAACACAAATCCTTTCAGCAGTTTGAAGAAGGCTCCTCACCCATTTGCACTGCTCAGGTGATCCTGAGGACACAGATAAACCCCCCGGTGGTCTCAATGGCTCTCTCTAAGGAGGCAAATGACCAGCGGTCTGCAAGGAGTATAAATCCTTCCGCTCCCCACCATCCAGTCAGAGCTGAAGAAGCTTGTGGGACGAGAAGCGAAATGTCTTCAAAGAAAAACAAGAAAGTCCCATGAAGACACAGATAAGCTTCCAAGTGGCCTCAACGACTCTCTCAAAGGAGGCAAATGACCAGCGGTCTGCGAGGAGTATAAATCCTTCCGTTCCCCACCATCCAGTCAGAGCGGATGGTGAAGATGAGAAGCGAAATTTCTTCAAAGAAAAACAAGAAAGTCCCATGAAGACACAGATAAGCTTCCAAGTGGCCTCAACGCCTCTCTCAAAGGAGGCAAATGACCAGCGGTCTGCGAGGAGTATAAATCCTTCCGTTCCCCACCATCCAGTCAGAGTGGATGGTGAAGATGAGAAGCAAAACGTCTTCAAAGAAAAATAAGGAAGTCCAGTTGCCTCCTGAAAAAGTACCGTTGCGTACTCTCCTCACCCTGGACTCTTGTTTGGAAAGTTTAGAGCAGCCCCCCCCAGCCCGAGATCCATGGACCAGCACCAGGCCACAACACACCAGCAACCAGGCCGCGCAAACAAGCGAAGCCCCATCCACGGGATGCAGGCAAGCACACAAAACCACGCCGCCTTCGGTCGGCGGGAAAACATCTTTACACAAAACCGGTCCCTGCTGCCCAAAAGGTTGAGTGGGGGGGGGGCTGGTTGATGGGATGCTATATTGTCCTCGGTTGAAGGACGAAAGGGTGGGACGTCTCCCCCATTTTAACCTAGTTTGTGTGAAAAGCTATGCTTTGGCGCACAAGGCACAAAAAACCTGCGTACCCCACGGAATCCTGTCTGCAGGATCCTTTCGTTTGTGTGTCCCTCTGCAAAATAAGGGGGGGCTTCTTACCATGGGTTTTGTCGCCTTCCTCGGCAAAAGGCCGGCGTCTTCCCCAGCTGAGTCTGGGGCTCTTAGCAGTCTCGTCTGATTGGCGGGTCAAGGAAGAGAAGTTGACGGTGGGCACCGAATGACCTGCGGAGAGAGGAGACACCAGAGAGACGAAACTTGTAAAAAAAAAACCCGAGGATTCGAATCGGTGGAGAGAAGACACCAACCGAAACACAACGGCACCACCTAGGACTCGAATCGCCCAGGAAAGATTTGAGTCGGGAGGCAGGGTCAGGGGCCTAAAGCCCCTCCACTCCCAACTCAAAATGTAGGCTTCAAAATATTCAGGGTGAAAAAAAAAAAGTCTTCCACCCCCACCGTATCCTCGCGAGGAAAAAGGGAGAAGCAGAGCCCCGAGGCTCGGTCCCTAAACGAATGGGCTCACCGAGCGAGCGAAGCAAAGAGCACATCTCCAGCATCACTTCTTGGTGTAGGTCCTTCTGACTGCCTTCCAGCAGGGACCACTCCTCCAGCGAGAAGCCGACGGCCACGTCCTCAAAGGTCACCCCATCTGGAGCGCCAGCTGTGCCCGCTGTGCCCTCGTTCTGCGCCTGCAGCCCGAAGCAGAGAAAGAGAGAGAGAGAGAGAGACACCTCCGTGAGCGAGGCGGGGCCCAGACTCGACCGTAATGGATTTCAGAAGCGGGAGCCCTCTCAACGGGACGGATTGGCGCAGGTTTTCCCCCCGGGATCCAACTCTACGCAGGCTCGATCTTCCCGCTAATTTATCGGGTAACGGGCAGGGCAGGACCTGGAGACAGCAGGAGAGAAGAGAAAGAACTGGAAACGATAACAAAATATCAAGACCGGCAAATAGAAATAGCGGTCGAGGGAGAGTCTCAGTCGTCCAGATCCTGGTGGTCCTAAAGGTGCTTTTTTTTCCAGGACTTCCTTCTTTTTCTTTGAAGATCTTTCGCTGCTCACCCAAGAAGCTTCTTCGGCTCTCGCTAACAGTTCAGTTCTTCAGTCAGAACTGAAGAAGCTTCCGGGATGAAAAGGGAGACATCTTCAAGGGGGAAAAAAAAAGCCAAGCTCTGACTGGATGGTGGGGAAATGGAAGGATTTATTCCCCTTGCAGATAGCTGGTCATTTCCCGCCTTTTAGAGAGGCGTTGAGGCCACTTGGAGGTTTTATCGGTGTCCTCGGGGTCAGCTGAGCGGTGCAAATGGGGGTGGAGCCTTCTTGGAACTGCTGAAAGGGCTGGTCTACAACACACCTATTTGCATCGCTCAGGTGACCTCCAGGTCACAGATATTCTGTATTCCATTCTGTATTCTCTCTATTCTAATTCTATTCTATTCTTATCATATCTTATCCTATTCCATTCCATTCAATATTTTCTCTTCTCTTCTCTTCTCTTCTCTTCTCTTCTCTTCTCTTCTCTTCCATTCCATTCCATTCCATTCCATTCTACTCCACTCCATCCCACCCCACTCCATTCCATTCTGTATTTTCATTCCATTCCATTCTGTTTTACATTTCTATTCTAATTCTATTCCATTCCATTCTATCCTATTCTGTACTTCTGTTCCATTCTGTTCTGTATTTCTGTTCCATTCCATTCTGTATTTCTATTCTAATTCTATTCCATTCCATTCCATCCTATTCTGTATTTCTGTTCCATCCCATCCCATCCCATCCCACTCCGTTCTATTCTGTTCTATTCTATTCTATTTTTCTGTTCTAACTCTATTCCATTCCATTCCACCCTATTCTGTATTTCTATTCTATTCTATTCTATTCTATTCTATTCTATTCTATTCTATTCTATTCCATTCCATTCCATTCTGTATTTCTATTCCATTCCATTCTATTCTGTATTTCTATTCTAATTCTATTCCATTCCATTCTATCCTATTCTGTATTTCTGTTCCATTCCATTCTGTATTTCCATTCTAATTCTATTCCATTCCATCCTATTCTGTATTTCTGTTCCAATCTATTCTGTATTTCTATTCCATTCTATTCCATCCCATCCCATCCCACTCCGTTCTAGTCTGTTCTATTCTATTCTATTTTTCTGTTCTAACTCTATTCCATTCCATTCCATTCCACCCTATTCTATTCTATTCTATTCTATTCCATTCCATTCCATTCCACCCTATTCTATTCTATTCTATTCCATTCCATTCTATTCTATTCTATTCTATTCTATTCTATTCCGCTCCATTCTATTTACTGTCTATTCCGTCCCATTTTTATTCCACTTCTCCTATCCCTCTTCCCTTCCCTTCCCTCTTGCCTTTCCTTCCCATCCCCATCCCCATTCGTCACCGGGAAGGGGGGGGGTGTCCCTCAACATCCAGAGCCCGGACGACCCCTGGCCTTGCCCCTTTCCCGGCCTCGCCCCACCGCCTAGACCCCTCCCGCCGAGCAGCGCCCCCCCCCCGCAGGACCAGCGATGCTTTTTCCCAGCCCCCCTGCCCAGGGCCGGGCGCGGGGCACCCAGAGCGCAGGCAAACGTACCCGGGAAGCAGCCTGGCCTCCCTCGCGGGTCTCCGCCGTCCACAGCCCTCCGGACCCCGGGTCCATCCTGCGACAACCCCTCCCCCTCTTGGGAGGGGGTGGCTGGGCTGCGGATGGGCTGAAGTCCGTCCGGGCTAGTCGTGGGATGCTCGGGGCTGGGTGGATCCAGCGCGGGGGTCTCCGCAGCCCTCCCAGGGAGGGGGACTACGACTCCCAGCGGCCTCCGCGGCCAGCAGACCCCCCCCCCACCTATTTTTTATTTTTCCTCTTCTCGCCCAGCTGACTGACGGACTGCCTGAATTGCTGGACAGCGCTGGCTTTTGCCCCGGGGTCCCGGAGAGGCAGCGCCGGATGGCTCCCGGCCAGGGCTGCAGCTAAGACCGGTCCAAAGGGGCAGCGAGAGAGGGGGAGAGAAAAAAGAGGGAGGGAAAGGAGGGGAAGAGAAGAAGAGGAAGGAAAAGGGAGGGAGGGAGGGAGGGGAAGCGAGAACAAGAAAGAGAAGGAAAGAGGAAGAGAAAGAGAAAGAAAAGAAAGAAAGGAAAGAGAAAGAAAGAGAAAAAGGGAGGGAGGGAAAGGAGGGGAAGAGAAAAAGAGGAAGGAAAAGGGAGGGAGGGAGGGGAACAGAGAACAAGAAAGAGAAGGAAAGAGGAAGAGAAAGAGAAAGAAAATAAAGAAAGGAAAGAGAAAGAGAAAAAAGGGATGGAGGGAGGGAAGGAGGGAAATAAAGAAAGGAAGAAAGAAAGAAAGGAGGGAGGGAGGGAAGGAAGGAAGGAAGGAAGGGGAAGTGAGAAAAAAGAGGAAAGAGAAAGAAAGAAAGAAAGAGAAAAAAGAGAGAAAGAGAGGAAACAGAAAAAAGGAGGGAGGGAGGGAGGGAGGGGAAGAGAGAAAAAGAAAGAGAAGGAAAGAGGAAGAGAAAGAGAAAGAAAAAGAAAAGACAAAGAAAGGAAAGAGAGAAAGAAAAAAGGGAGGGAGGGAAGGAAATAAAGGAAAGAAGGAAGAAAGAAAGAAGGTATGGAGGGAGAGGAGGAAGGAAGGAAGGAAGGGGAAGTGAGAAAAAAGAGAAAGAGAAAGAAGAAAGAAAGAAAAAAGAAAGAAAGAAAAAGAGGAAAAAAGGGAGAGAGGGAAAGTGGGAAAGAGAAAGAGGAAAGGAAGGAAGGAAGGGGAAGAGAAAAAAGAAAGAGAAGGAAAGAGAAGGAAAGAAGGAAAGAGGAAGAGAAAGAAAGGAAAGAAAGAAAAAGAGAGAAATAAAGAAAAAAGGGAGAGAGGGAGGGAAGGAAAGAGAAAAGAGGTATAGGTAGGAAGTAAGGAAGGGGGAGGGAAGGGAAAGAAGGAAGGGGAAGAGAGAAAAAAGAAAGAGGAAAGAGAAAGAAAAGAAAGAGAAAGAAAAAAGAAAAAAGAGGAAAAGGGAAAGAAAAAAGAGGAAGGAAGGAAGGGGAAAGAGAAAAAGAAAGGAAAAGGAAAAAAGAAAGAGAAAGAGATGAAAGGGAGAGAGGGAAAGAAGGAAGAATAAGAGGAAAGGGAGGAAGGAAGGAGAAGAGAGGAAAAGAAAGAAAGAAAAAGAAAGAAAGAAAGGAAGAAAGAAAGGAGGGAGGTAGGGAGGAAGGGAAGGAAGGGGAAGAGAGAAAAAGAAAGAAGAAAGAGAAAGAAAAGAAAGAGAGAAAGAAAAAAGGGAGAGAGGGAAAGAGAAAAAGAGGAAAGGGAGGAAGGGGAAGAGCGAGAAAGAAAGAAAGAAAAAGAAAGAAAGGAGGGAGGGAGGGAAGGAAGGAAGGGGAAGAGAGAAAAAGAAAGAAGGAAAGAGAAAGAAAGAGAGAAAGAAAAAAGGGAGAGAGGGAAAGTGGGAAGAAGAGAAAGAGGAAGGGAGAAAAAGAAAGAGAAGGAAAGAAAAAAAGAAAGAGAGAGAAAGAGAAAAGGGAGAGCGGGAAATAGGGAAAGAGAAAAAGAGGAAAGAAAGAAAGAGAAGGAAAGAGAAAGAAAGAAAGAAAGAAAAAGAAAGAAGAAAGAAAGAAAGAAAGAAAGAAAGAAAGAAAGAAAGAAAGAAGGGAGGGAAGGTGGGAGGGAGGGAAGGAAGGGGAAGAGAGAATAAGAAAGAAGGAAAGAGAAAGAAAAGAGAGAGAGAGAAAGAAATAAAGGAGAGAGGAAGAGAAAGAGGAAGGAAGAGAGAAAGAAAGAAGGAAAGAAAAAAAGAAAGAGAAAGAGACAAGGGAGAGGGGAAATAGGGAAAAAGAGGAAAGAAGGAAGGGGAAAAGAGAAGGAAAGAGAAAGAAAGAGAAAGAAAGAAAGAAAGAAAGAAAGAAAGAAAGAAAGAAAGAAAGAAAGAAAGAAAGAAAGAAAGAAAGAAAGAATGAATCCGGGGCATCCCCTCCCATCATCCTGTCAGAACTGATGAAGCTTCTTTCCCTTTAGTGACGGAAGGAACGCCGGCACTGGGACCCCCCCCCCAAAAAAAAGACTTATGGCGAGCAGTCCCACTTAACGACCGTCACGGTCAGGCGATCCAAATTCAGAAGGCTTGCTAAGCGACTCGGAGTTGTGACGGTCGCAGCCTCCCGGGGACCGACGGGAGACCTATGCGACGAGCGAGATTCCTGTCACGACCGGGGTGTGTGTCTCGCTTAACGAGGGCAGTGTGCTTCGCTTAACGACCCCAGCAAGAAAGGCCGAACTCGCTGCCCCCGCGTCTCGCTTAGTGACACACATTGGGGAGGGGGTTGTCATAAACCGAGGACTCCATTCTGAATATAAATAATTTATATTTATTACATATTATATATATATAAATATATTTTATATATATAAAATATATATATTGCTTCGCTTTGTCTCCGCTAGGGGGCCGCGCGCTCCTCCCGCCTGCAGGGGTCGCTGCGTCGGCGGTGTGCGCACGCGCGACCCAGCCCGGCTCGCCCGTCCCTTGCGCCCAGGCTCCTCCCGCCTGCAGGGGGTCGCTGCGTCGGCGGTGTACGCACGCGCGGCCCAGCCCGGCTTGCCCGTCCTTTGCGCCCAGGCTCCTCCCGCCTGCAGGGGTCGCTCCGTCGACGGTGTACGCACGCGCGACCCAGCCCTGCTCGCCCGTCCTTTGCGCCCAGGCTCCTCCCGCCTGCAGGGGTCGCTGCGTCGGCAGTGTGCGCACGCGCGACCCAGCCCGGCTTTGCCCGCCCCTTGCACCCAGGCTCCACCCGCCTGTAGGGGGGGGGTCGCTGCGTCGGCGGTGTGCGCACGCGCGACCCAGCCCGGCTCTCCCGTCCCTTGCGACCAGGCTCCTCCCGCCTACAGGGGTCGCTGCATCGGTAGCGTGCGCACGCGCGACCCAGCCCGGCTCGCCCGTCCCTTGCGCCCAGGCTCCTCCCGCCTGCAGGGGTCGCTGCGTGGGCGGTGTGCGCACGCGCGGCCCAGCCCGGCTTTGCCCGTCCTTTGCGCCCAGGCTCCTCCCGCCTGCAGGGGTCGCTGCGTCGGCGGTGTGCGCACGCGCGACCTTCCTCCGGCTGGCGCCCAGGCTCGCCTGCGGTGGAGCCGAGCCCGGGGAAGGTGGGGGAGAAAGGGCGCATGCGCGGGAGCTGCAAGCTAGCGGGCATCGGCCATGGCTGAGTGGGCGCCTGCCCAGGTGAGGGTCAGCAGTGCCCCCCCCACCGGGGAGGGAGGGAGGAGGGAGGAGGGGAGGGCCAAAGAGGGGGAGGGGTCCTGCTTGGCTTTTGCAAGGGGGGCCCCAGAAACCCCAGCTGGGCTGCTGCCTCTTTGGGGGAGTCCTGAAACCCCCCCTCCCCATGAAAGGGGGGGTGGTGGCAAGAGGGCTCCTGAGCATGTGCAGAGGGTCCCCCAGCACCTGCAGCCTTGACAGCATTGGCGGGTTGGAGGAGGGGAGGGGAGTGGGGGAAGGAAGGAATCCCGGCTGCCCCCCCCTCCCCTTGCACGCCCCAAAGGGTGATTGCACTCTGCACCTGCTCAGGGACCCTCTGGCCCCACCCTCCCGAGGCACCATGCACAAAAGCCCCCCCATTGTGGGCATGGGCCGGAGGGCCCCTGAGCATGTGCAGAGGGCACAGCCCCAGCCCCCCATTTGGGGAGAGGGTCCTGACAGCATTGAGGGGGTGGCTGGGCGGGCCAGGGGGCTTCTGAGCATGTGCAGAGGGCACAACCCTAGCCCCTATTTGGGGAGAGGGTCCTGACAGCATTGAGGGGGTGGGTAGGTGGGCCAGGGGGCTCCTGAGCATGTGCAGAGGGCACAGCCCTAGCCCCCCATTTGGGGAGAGGGCAGTGGGTGGGGGCAGCAGGCGGGATCCATCTTGGGGGGGGCTGTCAGAGGGCCCCTATTTGGGGGAGGGTCTCCTGGGGGGATGGCAGCCCCTGCGGAAGGCAGGAAGCCTCATTTGGGAAGGCGTTGGGGGCAGGGGCAAGAGGGCTCCTAAGCATGTGCAGAGGGTCCCTGAACACATGCAAAGTCTGCTCAGCCTTTGTGGGGGGGAGGGTGGATCCCTGCCTGCTGCTCCCGGCTTGCCCCCTCCCCAAAGGGGGGGCTTTTCGCATGCCCCCCCCGGGGCCGTGCACTCTGCACATGCTCAGGGACCCTCGTGCCCCTCCCAACGCACGATGCACAAAGCCCCCGTTTGGGGAGAAGGCAGGAAACCTTTGACAGCATTGAGGGTGGGAGCCAGAGGGCTCCTGAGCATGTGCAGAGGGTCCCTGAGCACATGCAGAGTCTGCTCAGCCTTTGTGGGGGGGGGAGGGAGTGGATCCCTGCCTGCTGCTCCCGGCTTGCCCCCTCCCCAAAGGGGGGCTTTGCACGTGCCTCCCCCCGGGGCTGTGCACTCTGCACATGCTCAGGGACCCTCTTGCCCCTCCGATGCACCAGATGCCAAGCCCCCGTTTGGGGAGAGGGCAGGAAGCCTTTGACAGCCTTTGGGGTGGGGGCAAGAGGGCTCCCGAGCATGTGCAGAGGGTTCCTGAGCATGTGCAGAGTCCACTCAGCCTTTGACAAGAGGGCCTCTGAGCGTGTGCAGAAGGCACGGCACGACGGCCTGGAAAAAGCCCCCATCGGGCAGGGGCTGGTGAAGGGGGAATTGCGGCACCTCCGGGAGGCAGCAGCGGTCATAAGTACGAGACGGTTGCCAAGCACCCGAATGTTGAGGCGCGAGTCGTTAAGTCTGAAAAACGGGCCCTAGGTTACGTTTTTCAGGGCCATTGGAACTTGGAACGGTCACTAAACGAACCGTCGTAAGTGGAGGACTGTCTGTAGGACCCAGTTGTCAAGCGTCTGAATTTTGATCAGGTGACCACAGTCGTAAGTGCGAAAAAACAGCCCTACAGCGTTTTTTTCTTGTAACTTCAAACCGTCGCTAAATGAGCCATTGTAAGTCGAGGACTATATGAGCTGGTGGCCTGAATTTTGATCGGCTGACCACGGTCATAAGTGTGGAAAAACGCTCCTAAATCGGTTTTTTTCTTCAAACCGTCACTAAACGAGCCGTCATAAGTTGAGGACCACCTCTCTGAGCCGGTGGCCTGAATTTTGATCAGGTGACCACAGTTGCAAGTGTGGAAAAATGGTCCTCCATCATTTTTTTTTCTTGTAACTTCAAACCGTCCCTAAACGAGCCGTCATAAGTCGAGGACCACCTCTCTGAGCCGGTGGCCTGAATTTTGATCAGGTGACCACGATTGCAAGTGTGGAAAAACCGTCCTCCATTGTTTTTTTTTCCTTGTAACTTCAAATTGTCCCTAAATGAGCCGTCGTAAGTCGAGGACCACCTCTATGAGCCACTGGCCTGAATTTCGATCGGGAGACGAGGGTTGTAAGTGCGAAAAAAACGGTCCTAAATCGTTTTTTTCCCTCATAACTTCAAACCGTCACTAAACGAGCCGTCGTAAGTCGAGAACCACCTCTATGAGCCTTTGGCCTGAATTTTGATCGGGAGACGAGGGTCGTAAGTGCGAAAAAAACGGTCCTAAATCGTTTTTTCCCCTCATAACTTCAAACCGTCACTAAACGAGCCGTCGTAAGTCGAGAACCACCTCTATGAGCCTTTGGCCTGAATTTCGATCGGGAGATGAGGGTTGTAAGTGCGAAAAAAACGGTCCTAAATCGTTTTTTTCCCTCATAACTTCAAACCGTCACTAAACGAGCCGTCGTAAGTCGAGAACCACCTCTATGAGCCTTTGGCCTGAATTTTGATCGGGAGACGAGGGTCGTAAGTGCGAAAAAAACGGTCCTAAATCGTTTTTTTCCCTCATAACTTCAAACCGTCACTAAACGAACCGTCGTACATCAAGGACAGAGCCAGTAGCCTGAATTTTCATCCCTAAACGGACCGTCGTAAGTCGAGGACCCCCGTGGGCACCTTCCCCCCCAACCGACCCTTCGCCGCGGGTTCGCCGAGCGCGGGTGCCGAGTTCTAATCTCACCTCCCCCCCCCGTTTCCTCCTTCCAGGCGTGGGAATGGGAGGCGGAGCCCCAGCACCTCCCGCCCTTCCAGCCTCCCGCCCTTTTCGACCAATCGGCCGAGCGGGAGATCTACCCGGCGGCCGAGATCTCCCTGTGGACGGTGGTGGCCGCCATCCAAGCGCTCGAGCGGAAGGTGGACACCTCGGCCGCCCGGCTGCTCAACCTGGAAGGCCGGATGGCCACCGCCGAGAAGAAGGTTTTCGACTGCGAGAAAACGGAACTCGAACTCGGCAACCACCTGGCGGCCTTGGGCGCCCTGATCCAGGAGTACCGGGGGCTCCAGCGCCGCCTGGAGAACATGGAGAACCTGCTGAAGAACCGCAACTTCTGGATCCTCAGGCTCCCGCTGGGTCCGAAGGGGCAGATCCCCAAGGTAAAGGAAGCCCGGGAAGGAACGCCGGGTGCGAATTCTGCCGGCGCCTTGGCCGCGCGTCCTACCGTGCGGTATATGTTACGGGGGGGGGGGCCTCGCTCTGTCCTGTGTAGAGCAGGGTCTCCAACCTGGGGCAGTTTTAAGACTTCTGGACTTCAACTCCCAGAGTTCCGCAGCTAGCGGGGCTGGCTGGGGGATCCTGGGAATTGAAGTCCATCCCTCTTAAAGCATGCCGGCTGGGGGATTCTGGAAGTTGAAGTCCATCTTTCTTAAAGCATGCTCACTGGGGGATTCTGGGAGAGGAAGTCCGCCCCTCTTAAAGCATGCTCACTGGGGGATTCTGGGAGAGGAAGTCCACCCCCTTAAAGCATGCTGGCTGGGGGATTCTGGGAATTGAAATCCACTCCTTTTAAAGCATGCTGGCTGGGGGATTCTGGGAGTCGAAGTTCACCCCCTTAAAGCATGCTCACAGGGGGATTCTGGGAGTCGAAGTCCCCCCCTCTGAAAGCATGCTGGCTGGGGGATTCTGGGAGTGGAAGTCCACCCCCTTAAAGCATGCTCACTAGGGGATTCTGGGAGTGGAAGTCCTCCCCTCTTAAAGCATGCCGGCTGGGGGATTCTGGGAGTTGAAGTCCATCTTTCTTAAAGCATGCTCACTGGGTGATTCTGGGAGAGGAAGTCCGCCCCTCTTAAAACATGCTCACTGGGGAATTCTGGGAATTGAAGTCCACCCCTTTTAAAGCATGCTGGCTGGGGGATTCTGGGAGTCGAAGTCCACCCCCTTAAAGCATGCTCACAGGGGGATTCTGGGAGTCGAAGTCCCCCCCCTCTGAAAGCATGCCGGCTGGGGGATTCTGGGAGTGGAAGTCCTCCCCTTGTAAAGCATGCTCACTTGGGAATTCTGGGAGTGGAAGTCCTCCCCTTTTAAACCATGCCGGCTGGGGGATTCTGGGAGTTCAAGACTCTGCTCTTAGGTGCCGGTGACCTTTGATGAAGAGGCAGCCGTGAATTTTTCCAGCCTGGAATGGGCCCAGCTGGAGGACTGGCAGAAGGAACTTTATCGGAACATCACGCGAGGGAACTACAAGCCGCTGGTCTCGTTGGGTAAGGGCTGGGTTTACGTGACGGGGAATTCGTATCCGTCCTTTGGGTCCGGGGTCCGCAACCTACGAGCCACGGCCCGCTACCGGTCCGCAGAAGTGGAACCCTCTCCCCTCGCCAAACTAGGGAAGTTTCGGGGATGCCGCTGCAGGCTGTGGATTGTTCCCAGCGCCCAAAATTGGCGTCGCTAAGGGAGACCGTCGTTCGGTAAACCTTACCCCGTTTACGACCTTGCCTTCCCACGCGGCTGACGCGAATCGCTGTTGGCCCTTACATTTCGTCCGCGTTGTCGGAACGGCGCAAAAAAGAGGACCAGAGACGGGACAAACCAACCGTCGTAAATAGGAGTTGGTTGCCAGGTTTCTGGGTTTCGATCATGGGACCACTCTGTGTGTGTGTAGGTGTGTGTGTGTGTGCTGTGAGGATCGTAAGGGTGAAAAAGTCACCAGCTGGGTGACTTTAGTCCAATCACCAGGTGACAGTGAGTTCTAGTCCCGCCTTAGGCATGAAAGCCAGCTGGGGGACTTTGGGCCAATCACCAGGCGAGGGAGAGTTCTAGTCCCGCCTTAGGCAAGAAAGCCAGCTGGGTGATTTTGGGCCAATCACGAGGCGAGGGTGAGTTCTAATCCCGCCTTAGTTAGGAAAGCCAGCTGGGTGACTTTGGGCCAATCACCAGGCGAGGGTGAGTTCTAGTCGCTCCTTAGGGATGAAAGACAACTGGGTGACTTTTGGCCAATCACCAGGAGAGGGTGAGTTCTATTCCCGCCTTAGGCAAGAAAGCCAGCTGGGTGATTTTGGGCCAATCACCAGGCGAGGGTGAGTTCTAATCCTGCCTTAGGCGTGAAAGCCAGCTGGGTGATTTTGGGCCAATCACCAGGAGAGGATGAGTTCTAGTCCCGCCTTAGTTAGGAAAGCCAGCTGGGTGACTTTGGGCCAATCACCAGGCGAGGGTGAGTTCTAGTCCTGCCTTAGGCAGGAAAGCCAACTGGGTGACTTTTGGCCAATCACCAGAAGACTGGGAGTTCTAGTCCTGCCTTAGGCATGAAAGCCGGCTGGGTGATTTTGGGCCAATCACCAGGCGAGGGTGAGTTCTAGTCCCGCTTTAGGCACGAAAGCCAGCTGGGTGACTTTGGGCCAATCACCAGGAGATGGTGAGTTCTAGTCCCGCCTTAGGGAGGAAAGTCAGCTGGGGGACTTTGGGCCAATCACCAGGAGACTGGGAGTTCTAGTCCTGCCTTAAGCATGAAAGCCTGTTAGGTGACTTTGGTCCAATCACCAGGCGAGGGTGAGTTCTAGTCCCACCTTAGGCAGGAAAGCCAGCTGGGGGACTTTGGGCTACTCTCTCTCTCTCTCTCTCTTTCCCTCTCCCCCTCTTTCTCTCCCTCTCTTCTCTCTGTCACTCCTCTCTCTCTCTCTTTCCCTCTCCCCCTCTCTTTCTCTCTCTTTCTCTCTTTTCCTCTCCCCCTTTCTCTCCCTCTCTTCTCTGTCCTCTCTCTCTCTCTCTCCCTCCCCCTCTTTCTCTCTCCTGTCACTCTTTTCTCTCTCTCTCTTTCCCTCTCCCCCTTTCCCTCCCCCTCTTTCTCTCCCTCTTTCCCTCTCCCTTTCCCTCTCTTCTCTGTCACTCCTCTATCTCCCTCTCTCTCTTTCCCTCTCCCTCTCTTCTCTCTGTCACTCCTCTCTCTCTCTCCCCCTTTCTCTCCCTCTCTCTCTCTCTCTCTCTCTCTCTCTCTCTCTCTCTCGTTCGCTCCTGAAACGTCTCGGCTAACCCTCTCCTCTTTCTTTCCCTTTTCCAGACTCCGCCATGGCCCGAGCCGACCTCCTCCCTCCACAGGCGGCTCCGGGGGGAGCGCCCCACGTGGCAGATCAGCCCCCGGGGGGCGGAAAGGGGCTCCCCGCGGCGCCCAAGACAGGTGCGTGAAAACGCGGGGTCTCGCTCCGCCATTGTCCCTCCCGATCTCGGTTGGTTTTTAAAATCCCGGTTTGATCGTCTCCGGTCGTTCTTCCGAGCCCCCGTTTTACTCCCCCCCCCACTCAACCCCAGAGAAAAGGGTGCAAGGGAGGCAAGAATCCTAGACTCTTAGGGCCGAAAGGGGCCTCGGAGGTCTTCTAGTCTGACCCCGATCAGGATAGTTTGCCTGGCTGGATTTTGCAGGAAACTGGAAGCGCTAGGACCGGACCTTGCCTCCCCTTCCCACTGCGGACCGAGTACGGGGTACCTTGCGTTAATCGGGGGTCCCCTAGAGACAGGTCATAAAGGTGAGGGGGCTACCTACTGGCCTGGGTCTCTTAAGCCTGGAAACCGCCGTCCTTTTTTCCTCTCCCAAACATTCCAGGGGCGAGATTCGCACCCGTCGCTAGGCTTCCCCCTCCGGGACGCCTCTGGCTGTCCGGCGGCCTTTGGGAAACTGACCTCGGTGCTCTCTGAGCTTGGAGATGGGGGGAGGCGGGAGATGTTTCCTTTGCAGACGTTTTGTGACCCAACTAGGTAACGTGCTCAGTGCTACAAAAGGAGGGAGGTGAGAAGAGACCGTATCCTTACTCCCTTCCCTTCCAGCGCTGAGGATGGGTTGCCTAGTTGGGTGGTGAGACGTCCGCAAGGAAAACCAGCCAGCTAAGAGAGTCTGAGGATCCCGCAGGCCTTATCTTCCTCCTCCTCCTCCTCCTGCCTTCTAGCACTGATGACGTTCCCTAGTTGGGTCACGAGACGTCTGCCAGGAAACCACCCAGCTCGGAGAGCACCAGGGACCCCACAGTCCGTCCTTCCTCCTCCTCCCTTCTAGCACTGATGACGTTCCCTAGTTGGGTCGTGAAACGTCTGTAAGGAAACCAGCCAGCTGAGAGAGTCCGAGGACCCCACAGTCCTTGTTTTTCTCCTCCTCCTCCTCCTCTCCACATACTCCACTCCCTTCTTGCACTGATGATGTTCCCTAGTTGAATCATGAAACGTCTTTAAGAAAACCACCAAACTTGGCGAGCACCAAGGACCCCACTGTCCGCCTCCTCCTCCCTTCTAGCACTGATGACGTTCCCTAGTTGAATCATGAAACGTCTTTAAGGAAACCCACCAAACTTGGCGAGCACCAAGGACCCCACTGTCCTCCGCCGCCTCCTCCCTTCTAGCACTGATGACGTTCCCTAGTTGGGTCGCGAAACGTCTGCAAGGAAACCAGTCAAGCTCAGAGAACGCCAAGGACCCCACAATCCTCCCCCTCCTCCTCTCCTTCTTTCCAGCCCGGATGACGTTCCCTAGTTGGGTCGCGAAACGTCTACCGGGAGACCACCCAGCTCAAGAGAGGCGGCGGGGACCTCTCCCTCGAACCCCGAGCTAGACATGTTCTCCTCCGTCGGTACCCACCCTGTGATCCTCTTCCCCAACAGCCGAAGCGTTGGCTTCCAAAGACGATCTCTTCTCCTGGATCAAGCAGGAGGAATCTGCCGGTCCCGGGAAGTGGAATCTGGAGAGGGAGATCCCGGCCCCCGTCGGCTACGGTGAGTGTGACCTGCAGGGCTAGCTTCCTTTAAAAAAAATGGTAGACGCCCTCTCTCTGAAAAGACTGCGGGCAGGGGGATTCTGGGAGTGAGTCCCCCTCTCTCTCTGAAAAGCTTGCGGACAGGGGGATTCTGGGAGTGAGTGCCTCTCTCTTCAAGCGGGTTGGCGGGGGGATTCTGGGAGTCGAGGTCCACCTGCCTTTAAGTGGCCAACCTTGAGCCACGTGCCTCCGAGACGTTTGCCGGCCTCCCCGATCCACGTCCGCTCCAGAATCTCTCCATTTAAGGATTGATTTGGATTCTTTCAAGGGTGTGTATGTGTGTGTGTGTGTGTGTGTGTGTGTGAGATTGCAACGGCGCCAGTTTCCGCCCCTTTCTGCAAAGAAGCTCTAACTCAGGCTGTTCCCTCCCCCCTGCTTCTTCCCCCCCCCCCTCCAGAGGAGAGTACACCGGTCAAAAGCGAGGAACAGCGGCTCCAAGAAAGTTTGAAACAGGCCTTTCCCGCCCGGCTCCCTTCAGCTCCCGGCGACGAGGTCTTCCAGGTGCCCCGATGCTGCCAGCGGCAAAGCTGCCTGCAGAGTCAACCTGTCCCTCCTCCTCTTACTACTCCTACTCCTCCTACCCCTCCTACTCCTACCCAAAAGCCACCCCACCCCAGTGAGAGAACCTGCCCGGATCCCGAGGCTGCCCCACCAGCGACCTGCTTAAAGGAAGGACAGCCGAGATGCTTCAAGGGTCCGGAGGGGTTTGCCTTGCCCCCGAGGGTTCCCGCAGGAGAGGAAGGGTACGGGGAAGGGGTCAGGCCGGTGACTGAATCCGGGCTCCCCCAGATCCCCGAGACCTACCTGTGCCCGGAGAGTAATGGCAGCTTCGGCGAGGTGCCCGTCTCCGAAACGGCCGGAGGGCCGCACGCCTGTTCCCTCTGCCCGAAAAGCTTCCGGCTGAAGACCAGCCTGCTGATCCACCAGAAGACTCATGCCGTGGGGAAGAGCGACAGCCCCTTTGTCTGCTCCGAGTGCGGCTGCGGCTTCAGCCACCAGGCCCAGCTGACGCGGCACCAGGCCGTCCACGCCGACCGGCCGCACCAGTGCGCGGAGTGCCACAAGGCCTTCAACCGCAAGTCCAGCCTGGTGGTCCACCAGAAGACCCACCGCGAGCGGCCGCGCCCCTTCCAGTGTCCCCAGTGCAGCAAGACCTTCATTCGGAAGCAGCACCTGGACGACCACACCCGCACCCACACGGGGGAGAAGCCCTACCAGTGTCCCGAGTGCGAGAAGCGCTTCGCCGAGAAGTCCAAGCTGACCAACCACTACCGCATCCATACCGGCGAGCGGCCGTACCGCTGCGGGCAGTGCGACAAGCGCTTCGTGCGGGCCCACCACTTGGTCAAACACCAAAGCAGCGTCCACCAAGCCGGGGCTAAGCTCTACTCCTGTCGGGAGTGCGGGCAGAGCTTCGGCCACGCCCAGGCCTTCCTCAGCCACCAGGCCAGCCACGCCAACGGCGAGAGGCGCCACCGTTGCACCGAATGCCTCAAGACGTTTGCCCGCCGGAAGTACCTGCTGGAACACCAGCGTATGCACACGGGAGAGAACCCCTACGCCTGCCCACACTGCGGCAAGCACTTCCGCTACAAGCAGTCCCTCAAGCAACATCTGCGCATGCACAGGGAGCAGCTGCCCCCGCCGCCGCTACCGTCTGGGCCTGCTCTGCCAGTCATCAACCCCATGGAGCAGGACCCTCTCTTGGAGGCCAACCCACCCAGTGGAACTTGAAGCTGGGCCACGAGGTGGTCTTCTACGCCAAACGAACCGCTGCGCTAGAATCGGCACCCTGGTGGGTCGGCTGAGGCCTTCGATGCTGCTTCTCTCCCTGCGGGGAGGCTTCCTTCTTGCTTGCTGATCAGGACCGGGTGGGGGCAGGCTCTCGTCCTGCGGACAAGCCCAGCTGCCAGCCATCAAAAGACACCAGTTCTCTGAAATATTTCTTTTTGATCGAAACGGCTGCCCCAAAGACTCTCGCCGTCCTGCACTGTCATCGGAGGAGCTGCGAATCCTGGCCGAACGAAACAAAAACGGAACAAAACAAAAAAAAAATCGCGACTAAAATGCGATCGTGCCCACTTACCTTCTTGGTCCCAGCACGGGAGGCCAGCCCGCTGGAGTGGGTGTGCAGCTACACCCCGAGGCCAGGGTTTCCTCGCCTGCGGGGTAAGAAAGACACTGACCCCCGAGGTGGTCGTGCCTGCCTCCGATTTTCTGGCTTCGCCTTCCGCACCCTCCGCTAGACGATCAGAGGAGCATTTGAAAACACTTTTGGTACGGAGGGTGCTGCAAACTTTTCAGGGGCTGAACCAGCCCCCTCCTCAAAAAAAACCCAACCCACAAAAGACAGCCAGAAAGTTGGAATTGATTGTCTCCTGCTGCCTGCCTCTCTTTCTCCGGAGGGCCACGCAGGATAGCTGTCCGTGGCCAAACTTCGGAACAGTTCTGCCCTCTCTGGTCGCAGAAGCTGGCCACTCCTTCCTTATTTTGCTGCTGTCAATCGAGCTGTGTTGTCGAGCTCCTGGTTCACCGGTTTCCTGCCGGTGCCACCCTACGCCAAAACGCTCTCGCCGAAGGCCCGGCTGCGGTTTTCCATTCAGTACGTTTCGTTGCCGAGACGCCGACGGACAGGGACGCAAAATCTCGCATTCTGCTCCGCCTCTCCAAGTTCTTTCTCACCAGGAGGTAGCCGTGACGTCATTTTCTCCAGCCCTGAAAATCCTCCCCCACCCCAAAAAAACCCAGAGCTCGGCAAGGGACCCCCAAGGCTGCACTCGTAAGCCGAGACCCCCAACCCACTTCCATACTAGGCTCTCGCTGGCTTAAATCCAACTGCACTACAGGTAATCCGTTTAGTGCGGGGGGGGGGCAACCTTAAACACTCAAAGAGCCAGTTGGATCCGTTTCCCACAGAAAACACTGGGAGCCGCAAAACTCATGCGCACACATGCGTGCGCCAGAGGGGGGGGGCTTGATTGAAGAGTTTAATTAAAAAGAAATAGAAGCTGCTGTGCATGAGTTCTCTCTCTCCCTCTCTCTTTCCTCCCCCCCCCTTGGTGATCTGCTCAACTGGCAAGCTGGCTTCACGCTGTTCTCTGACAAGCTGACATTCTTATTGGGTTGGCTCTCTCCTGCCCTTGGTCTGCCAGTCCTCTTCCCCCACTCAGTGTGTGTGTGTGTGTGTGTGTGTGTGTGTGTGTGTGTGTGTGTGTGTGTCAGAAAGAGAGAGCTGCTGCTTTCTGCTGCTTCCTGCAGAGATGCAGCAAAGGCAGGAGCCCCGCCCAATAAGCTTGTCAGCTTGTTGGAAAACAGTGTGAGGCCATTCTCTTTTTTACACACACACACAGGGAGAGAGAGGAGAGAGAAGGGAAGCGCAAGTGCCTCTGTCTCTGTCTCTCTCTTTCTGCAAATGGAGGACTGGGAGCCACAGGAGAAGGCTCAAAGAGCCACATGCGGCTCTGGAGCTGTGGGTTGCCGACCCATGGTTTAGTGCAGTGGTTCTCAACCTTTTTAATGCCGCGACCCCCAACCAGTTGTAAGTCGAGGACCAAACTGGTTGTAAGTCGAGGACTAAGCTGGTCGTAAGTCGACTACCCAGCCGGTCGTAAGTCATGGACTTTCCCTGCCCGCGAGCACCGCACATGCGTGGTGTCACCTCCTGCGCCGGCTGAGGCGTAGCTAGCAAGCGGCAGAGACGGAGCAGGCCGACCACCGGCTGGGCCACCAGCTGGCCCAGCCCAAGGGAGGTAAGGCACCCACTGGAAAAGGGGAAAAAAATGGCGGGCAGCCTTGCTTGGTGACCCGCGTGAAATGGTCGATCGATTCCAAATGGGGTCGCGACCCATAGGTTGAGAACTGCTGGTTTAGTGACTCCAAAATTAAAACGGTACTGAAAAAACACTCGTGACTGTTTTTCACACGACCATCGCAACATCCCCATGGTCACGGGATCAGAATTCAGACACTCGACCACAGACTCGTAACAGTGGCAGTGTTCCGGGGTCATATGGGCCTCCTTTTGTGACCTCCTGACCAGCAAAGTCGGAGTTGTCGGTTACAAGATGGGCGGGAAATTTTCTAAATCATTAAATGAATGGGTGAATGAATAAGAAATCAGAAAAAGATTCACAACAGCTGTGTTGCTAACTTAACAACGGCATTGATTCCTGGGGAGGGGGTCTCTTCAAACATGGCCCTTTGGTGACTTGTGGACTTCAACTCCCAGAATTCTGAGAGTTGGAAGTCCACAAGTCATCAAAGGGCCAAGTTTGAAGGCCCCTGCCGTAACTACCATATATGCCGGCGTATTAGGCGACCCGGCGTATAAGACGACCGTCTTTATTGCTGAGCTGCATTCCTAGAACGTCTTATATGCCGGAAACTACCAGTATTTCCGGCGTATAAGACGACCCCCATCTTTGGTGCCGAGTTTAGCGCTTCTGGAAGTCGTCTTATACGCCGGCATATACGGTACTGTAGCAAGAAAGATTGTAAAACGGGGTGAAGCTCAATACTTGTCTTGCTTAACAATGGAAATATCGGCCCCGGTTGTGGTCGTTAAGTCGAGGACTACCTGTGTTGTCAAAAAAAAAAACCTGGGGGGGGGGTTCTGGGAGTTGAAATCTGTGCAATCTTTAAAGTTTGTGAGGGTTTCCGGGGCAGATTGGGGCGAATGGTCTCCCGTGTTTTTGTTACAAACACCTTTGAGATTTTTAAAGCAAAGAAACACCGAAGAGACATTAATAAACGATAAATATCCCCCCCCCTTTGGATATAACGTGGTAAGTCGTTCTGAAGCCGTGCGCGAGCAAGCTAGATTGTCCATCCAATATTCTGGCATGAAGGGATTATCGGCCCCGGTTCTCACCTCATTCCCAGGCATCCCAAAATTACAGGCACTGTGGAGCGGTGTATGGGTGGGAGAAAGTGCTCTGGAAACTCTAACCCTCAACTTAACCAAATGCTAGCAAGCCTATCCCTGCTCCATTCTCTGTCTGTTGGCCAAAACAGCGAGGCACGGCTTCCTAAGGCCCCGATACAGGTTAATCCTCAACGTACGACAAGTCGCAGAGCAGCCGTTGGAAGTTACAACCTGCCTCGAGAAGGGAACGTACGACTCGGATCCAAAGTTCCGGCAACAGCACCCGTGCGTGGCCCCGCGCCCTCGGCAACGTGGCGGCGTCGACAGCTATTTGCAGCATTTCACGGGCACGACCACATTCGACAAAAGGTTTTGTTGAAAACCGGCACTTAAAATTTTCACTTTTCGGCAAAACGGTACCACGTAGCGAACGAGGGGTTCGCTTACACGGCGTGGACAAAAATAAATTGTCCTACGTGGAATACCAAGCCGACATTGGGCATCCATTTTTCCCGGGCAAGGCAGATCTTCCTACACAAATCTTTTTTTCAACCCTTTCAGCTTTTTTTTTTTTTTTTTTGACAGAACTCCCACTGCTTCCGGTATCACACACACACACATACTTTGGCTACAATCAAGGGGGGAAATGTATGGAGGAGGAGACCATTTGGTTTAGTGCAGTGGTTCTCAACCTTTTTAATGCCGCGACTCCCAACCGGTTGTAAGTCGAGGACTACTCAACCGGTCGTAAATTGAGGACTACTCAACTGGTGCAGCGCCGTTTGCAGAATGGGACTTTTGGCAGGCTCAGCAGGGCAGAGACAGCCTGGACAATTCCTATTGGCTTTTGAAAGCCAATAGAATTAGACTCTATTCAAGAGAGTCTATTCTATTGGCTTTCAAAAGCCAATAGAATAAAAGGGAGTAGCACAGCTAAGGAAAAGGGGAAAAAAATGGCGGACTGCGTTGTTTGGCGACCCCCGTGAAATTGTCGTTTGACCCCAAATGGGGTCCCGAGCCACAGGTTGAGAACCACTGGTTTAGTGGTTAAGGCACCAGACTAGAAAGCAGGTGGCTGTGAATTCTAGTCCCATCTTAGATGCGAAAGTCAGCTGGGTGACTTTGGGTCGGTTACCAGGAGACGGTGACTTCTAGTGCCACCTAAGCCATGAAAGTCAGTCACCAGGAGATGGTGATTTCTAGTAAAGCCTTAGACACGAAAGCTGGCCAGGTGACTTTGCGCCACTCCTGGTCGTTGGCCCCAAGTTACCCATATCATTTTTATGGTTTAAGGCAGTGGTTCTCAACCTTTTTAATGCCGCGGCCCCCCAACCGGTCGTAAGTCAAGGACTACCCAACCGGTCGTAAGTCGAGGACTTTCCCTGCCCGGGAGCGCCACACATGCGTGGTACCGCCCCCTGCGCCGGCCGAGGCATAGCTGGCAAGCGGCAGAGACGGCGCAGGCCGACCACCGGCTGGGCCCCCAGCTGGCCCCCCCCAAGGGAGGTGAGGCACCCGCCGCGCCCCACGCGCACCAGCAACCCTCCCTGTGCCCGCCGGCCTCCCACCTCCCACCCCTGGCCCTCTTTTCCTTCCACTTTTAGTAGTTGCTCAGCAGGGAGGGGTGGAAGCTTCCAGACAGCTCGCCTTCGCTGCAGACAACTTGCAGCACCGTTTGCAGACTGGGACTTTTGGCGGGCTCAGCAGGGCAGAGACAGCCTGGACCATTCCTATTGGCTTTGGAAAGCCAATAGAATAAAAGGGAGTAGCACAGCTAAGGAAAAGGGGGGGAAAATGGCGGACTGCGTTGTTTGGCGACCCCCGTGAAATGGTCGTTCGACCCCAAATGGGGTCCCGACCCACAGGTTGAGAACCGCTGGTTTAAGGCGAGACTAGAATTCTCTGTCTCCTGGTAATCGGCCGAAAGTCACCCAATTGGTTTTCATGCCTAAGGTGGGACTAGAACTCACTGTCTCCTGGGGACTGGCCCAAAGTCATCCAGCTGGCTTTCACGCCTAAGGACTAGAACTCACGGTCACCTGGTGATTGGTCCAAAGTCACCCAATCGGCTTTCATGACTAAAATGGGACTAGAACTTACTGTCTCCTGGTGATTGGCCCCAAAGTCACCCAATCGGCTTTCATGACTAAGGCGGGACTAGAACTCACCGTCTCCTGGTGATTGGCCCAAAAGTCACCCAATCGGCTTTCATGCCTAAGGCGGGACTAGAACTCACCGTCTCCTGGTGATTGGCCCAAAAGTCACCCAATCGGCTTTCATGACTAAGGCGGGACTAGAACTCACCCTCTCCTGGTGATTGGCCCAAAGTCACCCAATCGGCTTTCATGACTAAGGTGGGACTAGAACTCACCGTCTCCTGGTGATTGGCCCAAAAGTCACCCAATCGGCTTTCATGACTAAGGTGGGACTAGAACTCACCGTCTCCTGGGGATTGGCCCAAAAGTCACCCAATCGGCTTTCATGCCTAAGGTGGGACTAGAACTCACCGTCTCCTGGGGATTGGCCCAAAAGTCACCCAATCGGCTTTCATGCCTAATGTGGGACTAGAACTCACCGTCTCCTGGGGATTGGCCCAAAAGTCACCCAATCGGCTTTCATGCCTAAAGTGGGACTAGAACTCACTGTCTCCTGGGGATTGGCCCAAAAGTCACCCAATCGGCTTTCATGACTAAGGTGGGACTACAACTCACTGTCTCCTGGTGATTGGCCCAAAGTCACCCAATCGGCTTTCATGACTAAGGTGGGACTACAACTCACTGTCTCCTGGTGATTGGCCCAAAGTCACCCAATCGGCTTTCATGACTAAGGTGGGACTACAACTCACTGTCTCCCGGTTTCCTGGCCAGACACCTTTGCACAATTACATGCAGGCTATTAAAACAACTATTTTAACAGAAGACCAATAGATAAGCAATCTTTGTTTAGTGACCGTCACCGGGACCAACAACTTGATCACTAAATAATGCAGACCAGAAGTGAGTGGAGGGGAAAAAAAAAATTCATAATTTTACATTTTTTTCCCCATTCGTCTACAATTTTAACAATTTTTACTCCGTCCATTCGTAAGGCAATTTCTTTTAGTCCTTCAATGAACCAGGCTATGTTTCTGAATATTTTAAAACATCTTTTATTTCTAAAGAAGTCAATTTCATCCTCCAATGAACGGAACTTCATGTCCAATACTTTAAAACGTCTCTGATCGAATGTGTAATTATTATTATTGTTGTTGTTGTTGTTATGCGCCGTCGTGTCGTGTTACAGTACAAAAATAAAAGAATACAAAATCAGCGTTTACAATTACAGTACTGTACCTGTAAACATCCACAGAACCCCTTCCAGAGATTAGTCTTTTGCCGTGGTTTCCGAAATGTCGGATACGGGGGGGGGGGGGAGGGCTAGCAGGCTGGTGAACCTGCGTCCTCGGGGGATCTGCTTTTTTCAGGATGGGGAGGTGAGCAAGAAATAACTTCTTAAAAGAATTCACTAAGTTTTCTTTGCACATTTTTTTCCTTCATCTATTTCACTAGGACACATGCATTTCCCGATGTAGCTTTCCAAAAGGTTCTACATTCCGATCCATACTTCCTAATTTTCGTTAAAGTTTTTATGAACGTTCCAAGAAAAGCACCGGTCGATATTTTCACGCTGAACATCCGGGGCTCCCAATATAACTTTCCAAAAACATTCTACATTTGGATCCATACTTCTGAATTTTCATTAACGTTTCGTTAGCGTCTTGAGAAAATCACCTGTCGAATCTTTTCACGCTGAACGTCCGGGGCTCCCAATGTTAACTTTCCAAAACATTCTACGTTTGGATCCGTACTTCCGAATTTTCGTAACGTTTCGTTAACGCCTTGAGAAAAACACCTGTCGAATTTTTTCACGCTGAACGTCCGGGGCTCCCAATGTTAACTTTCCAAAACGTTCTACGTTTGGGTCCGTACTTCCGAATTTTCGTAACGTTTCGTTAACGCCTTGAGAAAAACACCTGTCGAATATTTTCACCCTGAACGGACTCAAGACTAGTATTTGATATCTTCGTCCTCATCCGCCATGCCTTGGGCCTCCAATTCTTCTTTCAGCTCGATCAATTCTTCGTTGGAAAGCTCTCCCTCGGGGTAGGCGATCCATTTTTTCACATCGTCTGCATCCACCTCTAAACCGACGGCGCGGTGGAGCGTCAAAATGTTGCGGCTGATTTCCTCCAAATCCTCGTTGAGGTCGAAGCCTTCAAAGTTACGGACGAGGAGAGCAAAGCGCTTCAGGCAGCGCTCCCAAATGCCTTGCGTGCATTTCAGGCTGACCTCCTTCCACGCCGTCGCAATGTTTTCGATACAGTGGCCGATGTCGTACGCGTCCCAAAAGTCGCGCAAAGTCAGCCTGTTGTCCTCTGTCGCGGCGACGGCCGAGGCCAGCGTGGCCCGTAAATAGCATGCTTTGAAGATGGAGACGGCGCCCTGATCCATAGGCTGTAGGAAAGGGCTGGTGTTTTTGGGTAGATAGACGACCTTCACGTCCGAATGGACATCATCCAGGTGCGGGGGATATCCAGGGGCGTTGTTGAGGAGCAGGAGAACCCTAAAAGGGATTCTGTTTTGAAAACAATATTCCTGCACCTGGGGGATGAAGCAATTTACAAACCAATCCTCGAAAAAGACTTGGGTCATCCAAGCCTTCTGATCAGTTTGGTAATAGACGGGCAGTGTCTCTTGGCCGATGTTTTCGCCCGTGGGGGGATCGTCCGATTTGTGGATCAGGAACGGCTTCAGCTTGAATCCGGCGACATTCCCGCCCAACAGCAAGGTGATTCGGTCCTTAAAAGCTTTGTATCCAGGTATAGCTTGGGCCTCTCGGTGAAGATAAGTCCGTTCGGGCATTTTTTTCCAAAATAACCGGGTTTTGTCCACGTTGAATATCTGTTCGGGCAAATAGTTCCCGTCGGCGATGAGCTCGTCAAGGTCATCCAGGAAGCGTTGGGCTGCCATTTCGTCGGCCCCGGCCGCTTCGCCCGGCGGGTGTGCCGTGTGGTAGTTAAATCTTCGCTGGAAGCGCATGAACCACCCGCGGCTGGCCGTGAACGTTTCGGTACACTCCTCGCCGGCTCGCTCCTTCAGGGTCGCAAAAAGGCTGCGCGCCTTGGCCTGAATGAGCGGGAGGCTGATGGGAATCCGCTTTTGGATCTGATCCTCAATCCACAGCATCAGGAGTTTCTCCGTTTCGTGGATGAGGCCTTTGCGTTGCCGGGTGATGATGGCTTTTGTCCCCGGGGAGCCTTTCATGGCCTCTCGGATCCTCTCCTTGTTCTTCAAAATGGTGGAGATGGTGGAATGGGCCAGGCCTTCTTCTTGGGCGATGATGTTCACCTTCTTCCCAGCGTCGTAGGCTTTGATGATCTTCATCTTCAAATTCAGACTGATAGCCTTCCTCTGCTTTTTGCTTCGCTCCTCCGACGAACCGTGGCCTTTTCTCTTCCCTTTTGAGGACATGGCCAGCGAGAATAAGAGCCCGTTGCAAAATACTGGAGAGAGAGAGAGAGAGAGAGAGAGAGAGAGAGAGAGAGAGAGAGAAATAAGAGAGATAATTTAGAAAAAAAATAGTTTAATTGGTTGAGAACAACTTCATTGTTCGCGTGGGAGGAGTGTAAAAATATATTGTCCTGGTTTGGTAACAAATTTTAGTCCCTGGATAAAAAGCATGTAAATCATGTGTCCAACCTTGGCAACTTTTAAGACCGGTGGACGTCAACTCCCAGAATTCCCCAGCCAGCAAATAAATGCATCATCGAACCAATCGGGAACAGGGTGGCTCGTGTGGTTAGGACGCTGGGTTGGAGGTTATCAAGCCCACATTCAAAACCGGAGTCAATCAATCCAGTGGTAAATAATAATAATAATAATAATAATAAAGTTGGAAGGGACCTTGGAGGTCATTTAATCCAACCCCCTGCTCAGGGAGGAAGCCCTACACCATTTCAGACAAATGGCTGTCCAGTCTCTTCTTAAAAACTTCCAGTGTTGGAGCATTCACCACTTCTGGAGGCAGGTGGTTCCACTGGTTAATTGTTCTCACTGTCAGGAATTTTCTCCTTAGTTCTAGGTTGCTTCTCTCCTTGATTAGTTTCCATCCTTTGTTTCTTGTCCTGCCTTCAGGCGCTTTGGAGAACAGCTTGACTCACTCTTCTTTGGGGCAGCCCCTGAGATACTGGAAGGCTGCTATCGTGTCCCCCCTGGTCCTTCTCTTCATTAAACTAGACATACCTTTCTTTGTGTTTTAGCCTCCAGTTCCCTAAACATCTTTGTTGCTCTTCTCTGCACTCTTTCTAGAGTCTCAACATCTTTTGGACATTGTGGTGACCAAAACTGAATGCAGTTTTTCCAAGGGTGGCCTTACCAAGGCCTTGTAAAGTGGTATTAATACTTCACGTGATCTCGATTCTATCCCTCTGTTTATGCAGCCCAGCACTGTGTTGGCCTTTTTGGCAGCTGCAGCCCACGACCGGCTCCTATTTAAGGGATGGTCCACTAGGACGCCGCGATCCCTCTCACAGTTACTACTATTGAGCAAGGTACCCCCCTATACTATCCCTGTACATTTGGTTCGTCTTGCCCAAATGTAGAACCTTCCTTTTTTTTCCCACTGTTGAATTTCATATATGAATTTCATTCATATAAGCCTAAGTGTTATGGCTATCAGCAGTGGAAATGTGGAACTCAATTGTGCTCATAACGCAAAGACTACCGCAAGCAGACCTGCCTTCCCTTAGCGCTGCTCCTCGACTGATTTGATCAGGACCTCTGGTGTCCTACCCTGTCCCGTGGGCAAGGTGGAACGAGCGAATTCCGCGACAAATCGACTACCGTCGAGTTGGAAAGGCACGTCGGCGCCGCCACCATGTCTCCCCTTACCGGAGCTGGAGCCTTCCCCGAAGAACAACGGGTCCTGCGCACACTGGTCTTCCTGAAGCCCACAGAGATGCTCTTCAGAAATGGTGATGGTCTGATAATCTATCCAGAAAGAAAAGAAACAAAAAACAAAAAAACACGAAACAAATATATAAGGGCTCTCCAATATATTGCCTCGGGGAAATGCGTAATGTCTGGAAAAAAACCAACCCCCGTGGCGACTGAACCGGTAAAGCAGCGCCTGCATTTTCTGCGTCGCACAAGAAAAGCACGTCTTCCTTCCGCTGTCCTGACCTGTCAGAATCCAATTATATTTCCTCTTTAATTATCAAACATAGAAAATCCCAATTCTGCCTTCTCTGGATTCTGCCATAAGAGGGAGAGAAGGGGGAGAACAAAGGGGCTTTATGGCCCTCACTTCCTTCAGTATACTTCTAAGGAGCTGAATGTGTTTATTGCAACCTCAAAGAGTTTGAACCTTACCATAACAAAGGGGGCTATTTACCTTTCATGTAGTTTATCTGAAGTCTCCATCCAGACGGAAGAAAGGAGTAAAGGGGTGGATTTGTGATGCCTGAAACTATCACTGGAAGGGGGGGTGATTGGGTGGGACTACTGGGGAACCCCTTAAAACCTTGAATGGGAGAGCTTGGACCCCAAGTCCTGTCTAGCACGCCTGCAACCACTTCTTCTTAATAAAGGATTCCTGTTGGAAGAATTATTCCAAGAGTTCTGTCTTCTTAAGATGCAAAGTGGGGTGGGTCCTTACACTTTCTACAGGAGGACGATCGAGAGCATCCTGTCGTACCGCATCACGGTCTGGTTTGGACGCATCCCTGCTTCGGACAGGAAGGCGGCGCTAGAGAGTGGTGAGGACGGCCGAAAAGATCATTGGCCGTTCCCTCCCTCCCATCCAGGACATAGCACAGAAGCGCTGCTTGAGCAGGGTCCGTAAGATCGTCTGGGACGCCACACATCCTCTTCACGACCTGTTTTCCTTGTTACCTTCTGGGCGGAGGGGACTCCGTGGTATCCACAGCCGAACATCCAGATTCAGCCAGGGTTTCATTCCATACAGCATTAACCTTGTGAACTCTCAACCGTCCTCCTTCCGTTAAGATATTCAAGGTGGACAGTATTTAATATTTATTGGTTATGTATATGTAGGGGGGGGGTCTACACCAGTGATGGAGAACCTTTTAGAGCAGTGGTTCTCAACCTTTTTAATGCCGCGACCCCCAACCGGTCGTAAGTCGAGGACTACTCAACTGGTTGTAAGTCGAGGACTACTCAACGGGTGCAGCACCGTTTGCAGAATGGGACTTTTGGCGGGCTCAGCAGGGCAGAGACAGTCTGGACCATTCCTATTGGCTTTGGAAAGCCAATAGAATTAGACTCTATTCAAGAGAGTCTGTTCTATTGGCTTTCAAAAGCCAATAGAATAAAAGGGAGTAGCACAGCTAAGGAAAAGGGGGAAAAAATGGTGGACTGCGTTGTTTGGCGACCCCCCTGAAATGGTCGTTCGACCCCAAATGGGGTCCCGACCCCACAGGTTGAGAACCACTGTTTTAGAGACTGAGTGCCCAAACTGCAACCCAAAACCCACTTATGCATCGTCGAGTGCCAGGTGGGCGTGGCCCATTGGCTGGGTGTGGCCCATTGGGTGGGCGTGGCTTTGGTGGTAACGTTCAGACTGGGTGGGACTAAAAAGTTTAATCAATCAATTCCAACTTTGCAAGATCTTTTTTTTGCCGCGAGAAATCGACTCATTGATTGAATCTTTTTTTTGCACATGGTGGTGGAGGCCTAAAGCGAAAAAGTTTTATAAAACCCAACTGAAGGCCTAGGACTGGGGCGACAGCGCGCGTGCCCACAGAGAGGGCTCCGAGTGCCGCCTCTGGCACCCGTGCCATAGGTGCGCCACCACTGGTCTACACGTATGTTGTACATAGTATGTTTGAGGTGTATTGTCATGGATGTGTTTCACTTTGAAAGCGGGCCGCTAAATTTCATTTTTGAGGTGTGCCATTGGGCCCACAGTACAAAAAAATGACAATAAAGGTAATCTTATCTATCTTATTTTATCATCTCATCTCTTCTCATCTCTTCTCTTCACTTCACTTATCATCTTATCTTATCTTACCGTAAATGCCGGCGTATAAGACGACTTCCGGGAGCGCTGAAATCGGCGCCAAAGACGGGGGTCGTCTTATACACCGAGTCGTCTTATACGCCGGAAATACTGGTAATTTCCGGCGTATAAGACGACGTTCTAGGAATGCGGCCCGGCTATAAAGATGGGGGTCGTCTTATACGCCGGGTTGCCTAATACGGCGGCATATACGGTATCTTATTTTATCTTATCTTATCTTATGTTGAGCCCAACGTACAGACTGGAGTTGAAGAGATACGGGGATCGTACGTCGGTTTAATATAAACAACTCGTAGGGTCCTTCGTGTTCTCGGAGTTTGGTTGTTTTCTGGCGGACGTTTCTCAGCCCAACTGGGTAACATCATCAATGCTAGGAAGGTTTCCATGCAAACCCGTCTCCTTCTAGCACTGATGGTGTTCCCTAGTTGGGTCGTGAAATGTCGCCAAGCAAACAACCAAGCCCAGAGAGTAATGAGGACCTCTCAGCCCTCTTCCTACATCCACTCCCCCCCCTCCTCCTCCTTCCATGCAAACCCCTCTCCCTTCTGGCGCTGATGATGTTCCCTAGTTGGGTCGTGAAATGTCGCCAAGCAAACAACCAAGCTCAGGGAGCGCCGAGGAGCCCACAGTCCTCCTCCTCCTCCAACACTGATGTTACCTAGTTGAGTCATGAAATGTAAGAAAACCACACGCTCCTAGACACCAATGGCCCTACAGCCTTCCCCCTCCTCCTCCCCTCCCTGATGATGTTCCCTAGTTGGGTCATGAAATGTCTACAAGAAAACCACCAAGTTCAGAGACCACCAAGGCCCCCCATATAATCCTCCTCCTCTCTGCAACCCGCCTCCCTTCTAGCCCTGATGATGTTCCCTAGCTGGGTCCTGAAACGTCTGTGAGAGAACCGCCCAGTTCAGAGAGCGCCAAGGATCCCACCTCCTCCTCCTCCTAGCCCTGATGATGTTACCTAGTTGGGTCCTGAAACGTCTGCGAGAGAACCGCCCAATTCAGAGAGCGCCAAGGATCCCACATCCTCCTCCCTTCTAATCCTGAGGATGTTACCTAGCTGGGTCTTGAAACGTCTGCGAGAAAACCACTACGTTCAGAGAGCGCCCGAGGACCCCCACGGTTCAACCCCGGGCTTCAAATCTTGCCTTCTATTGATGACAACGACGATCTAAATCAGTGGTTCTCAACCTGTGGGGTCGGGACCCCATTTGGGGTCGAACGACCATTTCACGGGGGTCGCCAAACAACGCAGTCCGCCATTTTTTTCCCCCTTTTCCTTAGCTGTGCTACTCCCTTTTATTCTATTGGCTTTGGAAAGCCAATAGAAAGACTCTCTTGAATAGAGTCTCATTCTATTGGCTTTCAAAAGCCAATAGGAATGTCCAGGCTGTCTCTACCCTGCTGAGTCCGCCAAAAGTCCCATTCTGCAAACGGTGCTGCGCCAGTTAGTCCTCGACTTACGACCGGTTGGGGGTCGCGGCATTAAAAAGGGTGAGAACCACTGATCTAAATCAAGGACAATCTAACCTCCAGAAGCCTAGCAGGACTCCAAACATCTAAAATGAGGTTAAAAGAAGACCGGGGGATCGTTGGGGATGACACGCGGACGCCGTCAATCACTGTCAAATCCTACGAAGCAATATGTAAGTCTAAGTGCTATTGCTTTCAGCCGTGGAAACGTTGGACTCCTATAGCTATACGGCAGTGGCCCAAATTGTGGAAGCCTTTTGGGAAAAGCGTATTTTTGAGGTTTGAGGGCTAACAACACCCGCTTTTTGGGGGGGGGGAGCAGTATCATAAAATTATGTATCAATGGAAAGATACCGTATTTTCCAAGGTATAAGACGACCCCCGTCTTTGGCGCCAAGTTGCATGCCTAGAAAGTCATCTTATACGCCAGAAACTACCGTTATTTCCGGCGTATAAGAAGACTCGGCGTATAAGACGACCCCCAACTTCGGCGCCAAGTTGCATGCCTAGAAAGTCGTCTTATACGCCGGAAACTACCGTTATTTCCGGCGTATAAGACGATTCGGCATCTAAGACGACCCCCAACTTTGGCGCCGAGTTGCATGCCCTAGAAAGTCGTCTTATATGCCGGAAACTACAGTTATTTCCGGCGTATAAGACGACTCGGCGTCTAAGACGACCCCCAACTTCGGCGCCGAGTTGCATGCCTAGAAAGTCATCTTATATGCCGGAAACTACCGTTATTTCCGGCGTATAAGGCGACTCGGCGTCTAAGACGACCCCCAACTTTGGCGCCGAGTTGCATGCCTAGAAAGTCGTCTTATATGCCGGAAACTACCGTTATTTCCGGCGTATAAGGCGACTCGGCGTCTAAGACGACCCCCAACTTCGGCGCCGAGTTGCATGCCTAGAAAGTCATCTTATATGCCAGAAACTACCATTATTTCCGGCGTATAAGGCGACTCGGCGTCTAAGACGACCCCCAACTTTGGCGCCGAGTTGCATGCCTAGAAAGTCGTCTTATATGCCGGAAACTACCGTTATTTCCGGCGTATAAAGCGACTCGGCGTCTAAGACGACCCTCAACTTTGGCGCCGAGTTGCATGCCTATAAAGTCGTCTTATACGCCGGAAACTACAGTTATTTCCGGCGTACAAGACGACTCGGCATATAAGACGACCCCCAACTTCGGCGCCGATTTCTACCCCTTCGAAAGTCGTCTTATACGCCGGAACATACGGTAATTGAATCAAGAACGTAGCGCAACATAGTTCGTTCCGTGATCTGTATTCTACGAAAAGGTAGAGCCAAACAACCAGAAAAAGCAAGCACAGCTTGCGTAGGTTGATCTCAGGTAGCTTTCCCTCATCGGATTGCAGCCAATGAGCGGGAGTGTTTAGAAAGCCAATCGGGTGTCGTCTTGTTTGGGCCAGGAGCCAACCAGATCACAACAGGATCCCCTTATCGATGTCCTGTATTGAAGCCGAGAGGGGGACATTGGTCGGGGTGTTGTGGGATCGCTAGCAAGTTGGTTGGGGTTTTCTTGTGTGTGTGTGTGTTTTGAGCTCGCAAAAACGTAATAAAATTAAAGTCATGCTGCACAGAGTCGACTGGCTGCCCAGAAAGCGTCGTAAAACGGCATTATTCGGTGAACCAGGCTACAGTTATGAAGACATTTAGAAGAAGAAAAAATGGGTGGAAACTTTACCCGAGGCGGCGTTTCGACGGTACGCTTTTTCCCCCTAAAAGGTTTTCCACAATTTGGACCGCTCCTGTGTAGCTCGCGAGAGGAAGGGGTGCTTACCTTCGCTAGGATCGTACGGCACGGGCTCTTTGTGGGTCTCCACGGGGCCCAAGGAGACCTCCTCTGCCTCTTCTTTAATCCCCGAGGGGATGTCTAGGTACTCCACCGAAGAACCTGGACACCGAACGAGAGGAAAAGGCGTCAAGAAAGCGCACGGGCCGGAAAAGGCATGCAGGGACAGCAATCACAAGGACAGGGGCCTACGGCGTTAAGGGCCAAGGAGAAGAGGGTCAGGAACAAGCTGGGGTAAACCCGCCCGCGGGTGGGAGAGAGACGGAGAAGGAGAAAGGCCCCCCCATGGGGGAAACCGACCCGAAGAATTCGATCGAAGAGATTGTGGAAAGGTATCGACGGGAGAGCGGTGGAAGGGTACGGTAAAGAGAAACCGCGGTAGAAAATAGGATCATACCGTATAAGCCGGCGTATAAGGCGACTTCCACAAGCGCTAAAATCGGCGCCAAAGACGGGGGTCGTCTTATACGCCGAGTCGTCTTATACACCGGAAATACTGGTAGTTTCCGGTGTATAAGACGACGTTCTAGGAATGCGGCTCGGCGACAAAGACGGGGGCCGTCTTATACGCCGGGTCGCCTTGTACGCCGGCATATACGGTAGTTACCGCAAGGAATCACGAACACGACAGGGAGTTTCAAGTTCGTGTTCAACTAAAATTTCTAGCAGACGAGAGGCAGTTTGGTGTCGTGGTCCCGACATCAAGAGAGAGTGAGTTCTAGTTCTGCCTTAGGCGTGAAAGCTAGCTGGGTGACTCTGGGCCAATCACCAGGAGACTGGGAGTTCTAGTCTTCCCTTAGGCGTGAAAGCTAGCTGGGTGACTCTGGGCCAATCACCAGGAGACTGGGAGTTGTAGTCTTGCCTTAGCGTGAAAGCTAGCTGGGTGACTCTGGGCCAATCACCAGGAGACTGGGAGTTCTAGTCTTGCCTTAGGCGTGAAAGCTAGCTGGGTGACTCTGGGCCAATCACCAGGAGACTGGGAGTTGTAGTCTTGCCTTAGGCGTGAAAGCTAGCTGGGTGACTCTGGGCCAATCACCAGGAGACCGGGAGTTCTAGTCTTGCCTTAGGCGTGAAAGCTAGCTGGGTGACTCTGGGCCAATCACTAGGAGACTGGGAGTTGTAGTCTTGCCTTAGGCGTGAAAGCTAGCTGGGTGACTCTGGGCCAATCACCAGGAGACTGCGAGTTCTAGTCTTGCCTTAGGCGTGAAAGCTAGCTGGGTGACTCTGGGCCAATCACCAGGAGACTGTGAGTTCTAGTCTTGCCTTAGGCGTGAAAGCTAGCTGGGTGACTCTGGGCCAATCACCAGGAGACTGGGAGTTCTAGTCCCGTCCTTTCTTCACCCGGAGACAGTGAATTCTAATCCCGCCTGAGGCACGAAAGCCGACTGAGTGACCTTAGGCCTTGAGGTGACTTATCCACTATCCAAGCTGGGACAACAATCGAATGACTAAAGAATGAGCAAGCAGTAAGGAGATGTCAGCTTTATCAGTACCGGCTTCCATTTCCCTCCTGACGGCGTCGTTCCGGCACGATCCAGAAGGAAGCAAGATTCTGGGATGTTCGTTTTCCGGGTCCATGAATTTGGGAGAAGTGGTCATCAGGACGTGTCCTACCAAGCGAGACTGCCCTTGTGGGGAAAGAAGACACACACACACACAAAAAGCGCACGATCAAGGCTCCCTCTTTTTTTTTAAGCCCAACCGCAATTCCAGGATGCCGGCTATTCACCCTCGTGAAGACCGGCGCCGATCTCCTCAAGAGGCCTGGCCTTTCTGCCAACGTGAGGTCCTTCTACTTCTTCCTTCAGCCACAACGAAACATCCACCGGAGCGACGGGGGACTCTGGACGGAGGAGAGAAAGTTGCTGTCAACCATCCAAAGGACCTTCTTTTCTTGGTTAAATCCATCGGACCCACCAGAGTGGGGAGGCAAGAGACCTAAAAAGGTCCTGTTGTGATTCCTCGCTGGCCAGTGGACCCGGCATCTGAGGACTCAGAGGAGGGGCCTGGAGGGACATCAGAGTCAGAGGAAGACTCGTGAGGAACACGAGTTCCCTCTACTCGCGCTCAGGCTGAGACGCAGCTGTGCTGGGAGCCTGAGTTGGACGGTGATGAAGAACAGCTGGGACAAATCACGGATGCATGAATGCGCAGGCAAGAGAAGCGAGTAGGACAGAGGAATGCAATGGAGCGGCTCCAAAGGCAAAGGAGAAGGCATTAGGAAGCCACGCCTTGGCTGCATCATAAAAGGGAAGGTGTGGGAGGTGCTAGTGGCCGAAGGCAACCGTTCGTGTTGCGGAATCGAGTTTCTGTGGACTGTGTTTTGTTTGCCTTGGACATTGACTCGGGTCTGTGAATAATAAAAGGGGTTGGTTTTTTTCCTGCGGTCCAGCCTGCTTGTCGGAAGAGAGGTTCCATCCTTGTGAGCTTAACAAGGACTCACGGAAGCTGGGACAGAACAGGTCCTTCTGGTGGAATCCAGAAGAAGGGCCTTCTCCGTGCTGGCTCCCTCCATTATGCAAAAAAAAAAAAAGCATGAAGAAAAAACGGATCCGTACATTTCGAGAGACAGCGTGCGTTTACCTGTGCCAGGGAGTGTCGGCGTGTCATCCTCGGGCGCGGCTTCGACGTTGGTGTCACACAAGGCGTCGCCTTGCTCGATCTTGGTCAGGATCTCGGGTTTTGCGATGGCGTAATCTGCCCACACACGGCAAAGGAAAAATCCCGTTAAAAAAAAAATCCTGTTAATCACCGGTTTCATTTTCTTCCTCTTCCTTTCTTTCTCACTCCAACCTTGGCAATTTCTATGGAATTCCCCAGCCAACAAATAAATGCATCCTCGAGCCAATCGGGAAGACGGTGGCTCGTGTGGTTAGGACGCTGGGTTGGAGGTTACCAAGCCCACGTTCAAGACCGAGTCAATCAATCCAGTGATAAATATAATCAATAATAATAATAATAATAATAATAATAATAATAATAATAATAATAATAATAATAAAGCAGCGGCATGACAAAGTAGCAACAATGGTGCATTGGAAGATCTGCAAAAAAATATCATTTGCCTCTAAGCAAACTGGTGGGATCATAAAATAGAGAGAGTCATAGAAAATGATAAAATTAAACTGCTCTGGGACTTCAGAATTCAAACAGACAAGCACCTGCAACATAACACCCCAGTCTTAACAATTGTCGATAAGAAAGACAAAAAAGTCTGGATAGTGGACGTCGCAGTGCCTGGAGATAGCAGAATAGAAGAGAAAGAACTGGAGAAGATAACAAATTACAAAGACCTACAAATAGAAATAGAAAGACTGTGGCAAAAGCAAGCAAGGGTAGTACCAATAGTCATAGGCTCCTTGGGTGCAATCCCAAAACAACTGGAGCACCACTTGAACATCATTGGCATTGACAAATTCGCTATTAGTCAATTGCAAAAGGCGGCCTTACTAGTAACTGCTTCCATCCTGCGACGATATCTGTAATACCATCAAACATCCACATCTGCCTATCCCAGGTCCTGGGTAAGGACTCGATAGGTAGACAAAATGCCAAATCCAGTCTGAACACCTGGCTGACTGTGCGATGATCGATAATAATAATAATGTTGGAAGGGACCTTGGAGGTCATCTAGTCCAACCCCCTGCTCAGGCAGGAAACCCTAGACCATTTTGGACAAATGGCTGTCCAGTCTCCTCTTTAAAAAGATGCTGAGACTCTAGAAAGACTACAAAGAAGAGCAACAAAGATGATTAGGAGACTGGAGGCTAAAACATATAAGGAACGGTTGCTAGAATTGGATATGTCCAGTTTAACGAAGAGAAGGACGAGGGGGGACAGGATAGCTGTGTTCCAGTATCTGAGGGGCTGCCCCAAAGAAGAGGGAGTCAAGCTGTTCTCCAAAGCGCCCGAAGGCAGAACAAGAAGCAACGGGTGGAAACTAAATCAAGGAGGGAAGCAATCTAGAACTAAGGAGAAACTTCCTGACAGTGAGAACAATTAATCCGTGGAACAGCCTGCCTCCAGAAGCAGTAAATGCTCCAACACTGGAAGTTTTGAAGAAGAGACTGGACAGCCATTTGTCCAAAATGGTGTAGGGTTTCCTGCCTGAGCAGGGGGTTGGACTAGATGACCTCCAAGGCCCCTTCCAACTTTACTACTATTACTATTATTACTAAAAACGTCCAGTGTTGGAGCCTTCACAGCTTCTGGGGGCAGGCTGTTCCACTGGTTATTTGTTCTAACTGTCAGGAAGTTTCTCCTTAGTTCTAGGTTGCTTCTCTCCTTGATCGGTTTCCACCCGTTGCTTCTTGTCCTGCCTTCTGGCGCTTTGGAAAATAGGTGGACCACCCCCCCCCCTCTTCTTTGGGGCAGCCCGAGAGATTGGAAGGCTGCTATCATGTCCCCCCTCGTCCTTCTCTTCGTTAAACTAGACCGAAATGGTGTAGGGTTTCCTGCCCGAGCAGGGGGTTGGACTAGATGACCTCCAAGGTCCCTTCCAACTTTACTACTATTACTATTACTACCCAATTCCAGCAACCGTTAGACAAAGACTCTAATGATAGCAAATGATGATATTCTCACCCATTGAGACTAGCATCTCATAATTGCTTTTCATGACCGTTTTATACAGGTCCTTCTGCAGGTCATCCAGGTTGCCCCATTCTTGCTCGTTGAAATGAACGGAAAGGTCATCGAAAGTGACCGGAACCTGGAAATAAAGAGCAGGGTTACGACTTTGTGCACGATCCTGTGGCCTCCAAGTCCTAGAAGTTGAGAAATAAGTATAGCGTACTTGGGGGAGGGGGGGGGAAGGCAGTATTTTATCATTAAGCAGACAAAAGCCTACTAGCTCCCTCTGGATCAGGGGCCTCCAAGCCTTAAGACTTGGGGACTTCAAGTCCCAGAATCCCCCAGCCGTGATGCTTTCAGGGGGTGGACTTCAACTCCCAGAATCCCGCAGCCAGTTTGCTTTAAGAGGGAAGGACTTCAACTCCCAGAATTCCCCAGCCAGCTTGCTTTAAGAGGGAGGGACTTCAACTCCCAGAATCCCCCAGCCAGCTTGCTTTAAGAGGGAAGGACTTCAACTCCCAGAATTCCCCAGCCGGTTTGCTTTAAGAGGGAGGGGCTTCAACTCCCAGAATCCCCCAGTCAGCTTGCTTTAAGAGAAGACTTCAACTCCCAGAATCCCCCAGTTTGCTTTAGGGGGAGGGAGGACTTCAAGTCCCAGAATCCCCTAGCTGGCATGCTTTAAGAGAGGACTTCAACTCCCAGAATCCCCCATTCATTCAGCTTTGCTTTCTTGCAGACGTTTCTTGATCCAACTAGGTAACATCATCAGTGCCAGGAGAGAATGGGGTTTGTGGAGTGGGGAGGAGGGGGGGGGGGAGGAGGAGTAATATGGAGCCTTTGGGGCTGAGTTTGGCTGTTTCTTCGCAGACGTTTCCTGACCCAACCAGGTAACATCGGGGTTAATAAACGACTGTACGGTCTGTAGTGTTCGTTCAGCTTTGTTGTTTTCTTGACCACGTTTCATGATCAAACTTAGTAATATCATCAGTGCTGGAAGAGTGGGAGGTGAGTGGAGTGGAGAGGAGAGGAGAAGGAAAAGGAGGAGGACTGTGGGCTCCGTAGCGTTTATTCCGCCTTGTTTTCTTGCAGATGTTCCCTGATCCAACTAGATAACGTCATCAGTGCCTGGAGAGAATGGGGTTTGTGGAGTGGAGAGGAGAAGGACAACTGTGGGATCTGTGGGGTTCATTCAGCTTTGTTTTTCTTGCAGACGTTTCTTGATCCAACTAGGTAACATCAGTGCCGGGAGAGAATGGGGTTTGTGGAGTGGAGAGGAGACGGACGACGACTGTGGGGTCTGTCGTGTTCATTCAGCTTTGTTTTCTTGCAGACGTTTCCTGATCCAACTAGATAACGTCATCAGTGCCTGGAGAGAATGGGGCTTATGGAGTGGAGAGGAGAAGAATGACGAACTGTGGGGTCTGTAGTGTTCATTCAGCTTTGTTGTTTTCTTGCACCACGTTTCATGACCAAACTAACATTGTCAGTGCTAGAAGGGAAGGTTTGTGGAGAGGAGGAGGAGGAGGAAGAGGAGGAGGAAGACGACGACAACTGTGGGGTCTGTAGTGTTGTTTTCTTGCAGACTTTTCATGACCCAGTTAGGTAACCCCACAATCCTCCTCCTCCCTCCCAGCTTCTCTTTGCCACCCCTCCCTCCCTTCTAGCATTGATGATATTCCTTAGGAGGGTCACGAAACATCCACAAGGAAACCACCGTAAGGACTCCGACGTCCCTTCTCCTCTACTCCCTCCCAGCGCCAATGCTGTCACCTACCTAGGTCATGAGATGTCTGCCAGGAAAGACCCCCCCCCAGCTCAGAGCGACCCCCAAGCCCCCAATCCTTTTCCTCTTCCTTCTCCTCTCTGCAAACCAGCCCTCCCTCCCTGCCCTGATGCCATCACCTAGCTGGGTCACGAGACGTCTGCGATGAACACCCCCACACACACTCAAAGAGCGTCCCCCGTCATTCCCCTGGTGGACAGCCAAGCCCCCCAGCTTCACCCTCTTGCCCATCTTCCACTGCTGAGGACCTGAGGCCCCATCGGCAGGTGCGTGCATTGTCTGGTGTGTAGGTGTGTGGTCTGTGTACTGTGTGTGGTGCATGTGTGGATGGTGTGTGTGTGTTTGCATGAGTCTCTAGTGTTGGTATGTGTGGTGTGCGTGTGGAAGGTGTGCATGTGCGTTGCATGGGTATGTGGTGTGTCTGGTGTGCATGTTTGTGTGTGGGGGGTATATCTGTGTGTTGTGCATGTGTCTGTGGTGTGTGTCTGCTTGGTTTGTGTGTGTCTGTGGTGTATGTATGGCGTGCCTGGGTGTGTCTGTAGTGTTGGCATGGGTGGTGTGCATGTGGATAATGTGTCTAGTCCATGTGGAGTGTCTGTGTGTGGTGCATGTGTAAGTGGTGTGTTTGGGTCTGTGGTGCATGTATTTGTAGTGTTAGCATGGGTGATATGCATGTGGGTGGTGGGTGGTGTGCCTGGGGTGGTGCATGTGTGTGTGGTGTGTGTGGTGCATGTGTCTGTAGTGTCTACGTGTGATCTATGGGGTGTTTGTGGTATGTGTAGCGTGTGTGTCTGTAGCGTCTGGTGGGTGGGATCTATCTGTGTGTGGTTGTTTCCGTGTGTGGTGCATATGGTGCATGTGGTGGTAGTGTCTACGGGTGGTCTGTGGGGAGTTTGTGGTACGTGTAGCTTGTGTGTCTGTCTGTAGTGTCTGGTGGGTAGGCTATCTCTGTGTTGTGCATGTGTCTGGGGTGGGTCTGCTTGGTCTGCGGTGTGTGACTACATGTGGGGAGTGCATCTGTAGGGTTGATGTGTGTGTGGGATCCGTAGGGTGTAGTATGTGTGTGGTTGTGTGTCTGTGTGGTGCATGTGTGTGTATGTGGTGTGTATGGTGCATGTGTGTGTATGTGGTGCATGTGTCTGTAGTGTCTACGTGTGATCTATGGGGTGTTTGTGGTATGTGTAGTGTGTGTGTCTGTAGCGTCTGGTGGGGGGGATCTATCTGTGTGTTGTGCAGGTGTGTGGGGTCCGTGGGGTGTGTGTGTGGTTGTTTCCGTGTGTGGTGCATGTGGTGCTAGTGTCTACGGGTGGTCCGTGGGGAGTTTGTGGTACGTGTAGCTTGTGTGTCTGTCTGTAGTGTCTGGTGGGTGGGCTATCTGTGTGTTGTGCATGTGTCTGGGGTGGGTCTGCTTGGTCTGTGGTTGTGTGTCTACGTGTGGGGCGTGCATCTGTAGGGTTGATGTGTGCGTGGGATCCGCAGGGTGTAGTATGTGTGTGGTTGTGTGTCTGTGTGTGGTGCATGTGTCTGTATGTGGTGTGTATGGTGCATGTGTGTGTATGTGGTGTGTGTGGTGCATGTGTCTGTAGTGTCTACGTGTGATCTATGGGGTGTTTGTGGTATGTGTAGCGTGTGTGTCTGTAGCGTCTGATGGGTGGGATCTATCTGTGTGTGGGGTCTGTGGGGTGTGTGTGTGGTTGTTTCTGTGTGTGGTGCATGTGGTGGTAATGTCTACGGGTGGTCCGTGGGGAGTTTGTGGTACGTGTAGCTTGTGTGTCTGTCTGTAGTGTCTGGTGGGTGGGCTATCTCTGTGTTGTGCATGTGTCTGTGGTGTGTGACTACATGTGGGGCGTGCATCTGTAGGGTTGAGTGTGTGTGTGTGTGTGTGTGTGTGTGTGTCTGTAGCGTCTGGTGGGGGGGATCTATCTGTGTGTGGTTGTTTCCGTGTGTGGTGCATATGGTGCATGTGGTGGTAGTGTCTACGGGTGGTCCGTGGGGAGTTTGTGGTATGTGTAGCGTGTGTGTCTGTAGCGTCTGGTGGGGGGGATCTATCTGTGTGTTGTGCAGGTGTGTGGGGGCCGTGGGGGGTGTGTGTGTGGTTGTTTCCGCGTGTGGTGCATGTGGTGCTAGTGTCTACGGGTGGTCCGTGGGGAGTTTGTGGTACGTGTAGCTTGTGTGTCTGTCTGTAGTGTCTGGTGGGTGGGCTATCTCTGTGTTGTGCATGTGTCTGTGGTGTGTGACTACATGTGGGGCGTGCATCTGTAGGGTTGAGTGTGTGTGTGTGTGTGTGTGTGTGTGTGTGTGTGTGTGTGTGTGTGTGTGTGTGTGTGTGTGTGTGTGTGTGTGTGTGTGGTGCGTGTGTGGTGCGCCTCCTCCCGGCCCCAGCCCTGACCTTGGGCGTCTCCCCGCGGGCGCCGGGCGGGAAGCGCAGGATCCAGAAGTTGCGGGTCCGCAGCAGGTCCTCCAGCCGCTCCAGCCGCCGCTCCAGCCGCCCGAAGTCCCGCACCAGCCCGCCCAGCGCCGCCCACTTGCCCTCCAGCTGCCCGCCCAGCTCCGCCACCGCCCGCTGGCAGCCGCCCAGCTGCTCCTCGGCCGAGGCCAGGCGGCCCTCCAGGCAGCGCAGCCGCGAGCCCGACGCCTCCGGGCCCGCCAGGCACGACGCCGACGCCGCCGGCCACAGCGACGCCGCCGCCGCCGCCTCCAGGCCCCGCGCCGCCATCGCCCTCGCCCTCCCGGACCGGCATGCCCCGCGCCGGACGACGCCCCGCCCCCCCGTCTCTCTCTCTCGCCCAGGCCCTGACGCCCGCAAGTCCCGCCCCTTCCCCCGACGCCCCGCCTCCCTCTCTCCCTCCCTCCCTCTGGCCCAGGCCCGTACGCACGCAAGTCCCGCCCTCCCGAGGCCCCGCCTCCCTGACTCTCGCCCAGGTGGTGGGAAGGAGCGTCATGCCCGCAAGCCCCACCCCCTGACGCTCCGCCTCCCTCCCTCTCGCCCAGGCCGAGGAGGGGGGGAAAAGACTGTCATGCCCGCTAGCTCCGCCCCCCTCTCGCCTAGGCCCTGAGGAGGGGGGGAAGGACCGTCATGCCCGCAAGCCCCACCCCCTGACGCTCCGCCTCCCTCCCTCTCGCCCAGGCCCTCAGGAGGGGGGGAAGGACCGTCATGCCCGCAAGCCCCACCCCCTGACGTTCCGTCTCCCTCCCTCTCGCCCAGGCCCTGAGGAGGGGGGGGAAGGACCGTCATGCCCGCAAGCCCCACCCCCTGACGCTCCGCCTCCCTCCCTCTCGCCCAGGCCGAGGCGGCGGGAAGAACCGCCATGCCCGCCAGCCCCGCCCCCCCGACGCGCCACCTCGCTCCCTCTCGCCCAGGGCCCGCCAGCTCCGCCCCCCCTCCCCGACGCGCCGCCTCCATCTCTCTCGCTCAGGCGGGGGGGAAAAGGACTGTCATACTCCGCGAACCCCGCCCCCTGGCGCTCCGTCGCCCAGGCCCTCAGGAGGGGGGAAAGGAGCGTCGTTTCCGCAAGCTCCGCCCCTTCCCCCGATGCTCCGCCTCCGTCTCTCGCCCAGGCCCTCAGGAGGGGGGAAGGGACCGTGATGCTCGCAAGCTCCGCCCCCCCCTCACGACGCTCCGCCACCGTCTTTCTTCCAGGCCCTGAAGAGAGGGTGGAAGGACCGTCATGCCCGCAAACCCCGCCCCCTGACGCTCCGCCGCCCAGGCCCTCAGGAGGGGGGGAAAGGACCGTGATGCCCACAAGCTCCGCCCCCCTCACGACGCTCCGCCTCCGTCTCCCAGGCCCTGAAGAGAGGGTGGAAGGACCGTCGTGCCCGCAAGCCCCGCCCCCCGACTCCTTCACTCGCCCAGGCCCTGAGCGGGGGAAGGACTGGCATGCCCACAAGCTCCGCCTCCATCTCTTGCACAGATCCTGAGGAGAGGGAGAAAGGACCATCGTACCCCGCGCCAGAGGACCGCTCCCCCGCAAGCCGTGCCCCCCCCCCAAGCTCCGCCTCCGTCTCTTTCTCCCAGGCCCTGAGGAGGGGGGAAAGTGTCGCCATGTCTAGCGTCCGAGGACCTCTCCATAAGCCCTGCCCCCCCCGCCTGAGACGCGCACATGCGCTCTTCCGGGGAGGGGGGTGGGAGAGAGGCCTAGAGGCCCGCGTCCGGACATTGGGGGGGGGGTTGGAGGAGGAAAAGACCGTCATGCCCCGCGCTGGGGAACTTCCCCCACAAGCCCCGCCTCCATTTCTCTCGCCCAGGCCCTGACGGGGTAGGAGGAAGAAAGGACCGTCGTGCCCCGCGCCGGAGGAACTCCCTACAAGCCCCGCCCCCTGCCTCCCTCTCTCCCCCCCCCCTCGCTCTCTCGTCTCTGACGGAGGGGAGGAAAGGAAGGGACCGTCGTGCCCCGCGCAGGAGGCGCTCCCCACAAGCTCCGCCTCCCCGCCCCTTGTGGCTCTGAGGCGAGGAAGGCCGTGGAGTGTCCCGCCTCTTTCGCTTTTGGGCGACCCCTGCCGGCGGGAGGAACGAGGCGCTCGGGGCGGCGCTTTTGGGCGGGAAAACGCCCGTCTCGCCTCAGACGGAGCGCCGCCCGCCAAAGGGTGTGGTCGCTTCTGCCTGAGGGGAGTTTGCTGAGGGGCGGGAAACGGCGGCCCTGATTTTTTTTCTCTCTCTTTTTCTCCCTCTCTCCCTTTTCCGTCTCTTTCTTTCTCCCTCATTTTCCCTTTCCCTCTCTTCCCACTTTCCTTCCCTTTCTCCCTCCCTTTCCCCTTTGCCCCCTCCCACTTTCTTCCCTTCTCCCTCTCCGTCCTTCTCTCCTTTTCTTCCTCGCTCTTTCCATCTTTCTCCCTTTCCCTCTCCTCCTCTCTCCCACTTCCTTTCCCTTTCTCTCCCTCACTTTCTTTCTCTTTCCATCTTTTTCTCCCTCACTTTCCATTTCTCTTTCCCTCTCCATCTTTCTTTCCCCTTTGTCTTTCTTCATCTTTCTCTCTCCCACTTTCTTTCCCTTTCTCCCTCACTTTCCCTCTCCATCTCCCACTTTTTCCCTTTATCTTGCTTTTTCTCTATAACTTTCCCTTTCTCTCCATAACCTTCCCTTTCTCCATTTCCCTCTCCCTTTCTCTCCCACTTTCCATTTCTCTCCCTCTTTCCCTTTCTCCCTCTCTCTTTCCCCCTCCCTCTTTCCCTCTCTTTCTCTTCAGCCTCTACTCTGGCTCGGCTGAGATTTCTGATCAAGTGATGGGAGAAAGGTGGCCCTGACAGGCTGTGAAGCCGGAGGGTGAGGAGAGCTGGAATTGGGGGGGGGGGGGGACTAGGCAGGCCTCTCCTCAGGCACCCACCCAGCTTCCATCAAGAAAGAGATAAAAGGGATCCATGATGGCCCCATGGCAATCTAGGATGGTTGTGAGGTCTGCCTTCCACCCAAGAGGGACCTTCTTAAAAAGTCCCATTTGGGAACATTTGGCTTTATCTTTCCATCCACTCATCCATCTATGCTCTCCATCCAATTCATCTACCCATCCATTTATCCATCCTATCTATGCCATGCCATCCAACCCATCCATCTATGCTATCCATCCTCTTATCTATCATCTAATTTATTTGCCACACATTGCACAGTCCAGGTGATTATGAGTGGACAGTCTAAATATCCCCCACTCCTTGGCGTCCCTCAACTGCCAGTCACTTGGAGGGAAATGTTTGACCCACCAGGATGAGCACCCCAAAAGCATTCATATCCAAGGATTTGGACAGAAGACGTTTGAAAGAATTAATCATTACTGTTCTACAACTGCCATCGCATCTCCTTGATTCATGGTAGCCCTAGGAAGCTATCTCAAACCGGTTTCCAGGATACGTGAAGTCCTTGAATTATGACTAGTTCATGACGATTTTAAAATGGATAAGTCATGTGATAGACTTGATTTTAGACTTGATTTTACGGTGATTTTACCCACTGGGGTTGTTAAGCAAACCAATGGTTCGCTATGGGCATGGTTTTGTCAAAAACAGAAGTAAATGCCAATTTTTGATGAAAGCATCATAAAACGTGATCATGCAATGCGGGTGTTGTCAGACCATCAGAACTTGAAGTCTGGGTCAGATACCCAGGTCTTTCAGAACTTTGGTGACTATGAAACCAGCCATAAGTCGAGGACTACTTATAATGTAGCTCTTTCAAGGTTACTCCAATCATCTTGAGTTCCCTCTTTTGCTTCGCTCAATCTTTTTGAGCACAATCTTGAGTGGCTGGCAGATATTCGTCTTTCTCTGAATTATGATCTCAGAGGAACTACCACTTAAAAGTTCATTTGAACAAAGTAATCCCCAGACTCGTGGCCTTCTAAATCTTGGAAATCAGCTGTCTCTCATCGAAAGATCCATTCCCTCATCCTGAAATGTTTATTCTGAAACATCTTGTCAGCACATGGCCTGGATGAAAACTGGAAAAGCACTTTAAAGTGCCACTATAAAGAAGTCCAGAGACAAGGCAAGAAAAATGGTGCAAGGTCTGAGAGACAATATCTCAGGAGAGATTGGAGGAACTGAACATGTACAGCCTGGAGAACAGAATGGAAAGGGGAGACATGACTGAAATGTTTAAATATAGTAAGGGTGTGAATAAGGTTCTGGAAGGCAGCATTTACAATATTAAGCGAAAATCAAGAACACAAAGGCATGGTCTTAAACTGATAGGAGGAAAGTTCAAAAGTAATGTTAGAAAGGATTACTCCACAGAAATAGTAGTGGAAGCTTGGAACCAACTAACAGCATGGGCCAATCATCAGTAAAGAGCTTAAACATGCTTAGGATAAATATGTCCATCACCTGACAAAATAATTAAAAAACAAATACACTGAAACAAAAATAACAAAGAATTCAAAAGGGCAGACTCGATGGACCACTCGGTCTTTTTCTGCAGTTTCTATCTGCCAGCCTTGCCGATAACCAAGACTAGAGCAGTTGATAGTACAAACTCTGCTAAGATCTTATTGCAAACTCCAATAGAATTTGAAGCTAGTAAGTTTAGCACTTTGAACAGGCCTCAGGAGTAAAATAAAGTTCTAAATTAGGAAGGTGTGTAAAAAATACCACAAAATCCAAATCCAGTTATTTTGGAGGGAAGTAACCATTTTAATGACGAAGCAAATATTAAAAACACTCACAAAAGCAATGAAGTACTTGATGGAGGCAAGTTGACTGATTTTCCTCCATACCATAAAGCAGCTTCTTCAGCCGAATCAACCAAACTACCATCACCCTGAAAAAAGTATGGTTTGGTATATTTCTCAAATGAGGAACAGCGTTTAGGAAAATTAATGGATTAAGAGCAAAAAAAAAAAAAAATCAGGGGAATAAGCACACAGTATAATCTTTTAGCATACAATGAATCGAAACCTCTTAGTGACTGCTTCAGGAAAAAATATATATATAACAACTCCAGAAGTGAAAACACTAATATATTCTTCCTGATGTGGAGTAAAAAAATAAAGCCACCTTCTGCAACCTGAAATCCTCAGGATATGTTGAGATTACATCACATACACCCAGCCCACTTTGCTGTTGTCTAACACACATGGAAAAGCTCAGACCAAGGAAAGCGGAAACATAGCATAGGAAGAATACTGAGTATTTATAAATGTGTGATAACAAAATCAGAAAATATTTCAGAGATTATATATCCGGATTGAGTTTATAGCTTGTTTTTCAACCATTTACTATCTGACCGCTGTGAAACTTTTTCAGAATATTCTTTCTACG